GGATGCGTCTGAGGTAGGGATAGGCGCTGGCCACCCAAGCTCCGCCCCTATGCCTTCTTCTCCAAGAAGCTCAGCCCGGTAGAGAAGAACTACGACGTTGGTGATCGGGAGCTGTTGGCTGTTTTCCGAGCCCTGACCGTGTGGAGGCACTGGCTCGAAGGGGCAAAACCCCCTTCCTCAACTGAACGGACCACCGTAACCTGGAGTACATCCAGGCAGCGAGGAGGCTGAACCCTCGCCAGGCCAGGTGGGCCCTATTCTTCACCCGGTTTGATTTCACTCTATCATACATCCGGGGTACGACGAAACGTGAAGGCAGACGCACTGTCACGGCTGTACGACACAGAGGAGAGGCCCAGAGACAACACCCCAATACTCCCGGCCTCCTGCATAGTGGCGCCGGTAGTATGGGCGATGGACGCGGATATAGAGCAGGCATTACGCACAGAGCCATCTCCACCTCAGTGACCAGGTGGGCTGCAGTACGTGCCTGCTCTTGTCCGTGACCGTCTTATCTACTGGGCACACACGTCCCCCTCATCTGGTCACCCAAGTATCGGTCATACAGTGCGCTGCCTGACCGGAAAGTACTGGTGGCCTACCTTGGCTAAGGACGTGAGGGTGTATGTCTGCTCCTGCTCGGTGTGCGCCCAGAGTAAGGCACCTAGGCACCTCCCAGCGGGTAAGTTACAGACTTTACTAGTTCCACAATGGCCATGGTCTCACCTACGTATTGATTTCCTGACTGATCTTCCCCTCTCTCAAGGTAACACCACCATCCTGGTCGTTGTGGATCGCTTTTCCAAGGCCTGCCGCCTCCTTCCTCTGCCCAGTCTCCCCACGGCCCTGCAGACTGCGGAGGCCCTGTTTACACATGTCTTCCGGCATTACGGGGTACCAGTAACCGGGGTCCCCAGTTCACATCCAAGGTCTGGAAGGCATTCATGGAACGTCTGGGGGTCTCGGTCAGCCTGACCTCTGGTTTCCACCCCGAGTCTAATGGGCAGGTGGAACGGGTAAATCAGGATGTGGGTAGGTTCCTGCGGTCCTACTGCCAGGACCGGCCGGGGGAGTGGTCAGTGTTTTTGCCATGGGCCGAATATGCCCATAACTCTCTCCGTCACTCCTCCACTAACCTAACGCCATTCCAATGTGTTTTAGGTTACCAACCAGTTCTGGCACCGTGGCACCAGAGCCAGACCGAGGCTCCCTACGGAAACTGATTCTGCGGTTTGTGGGGCCGTTCAAAGTCCTGAGGAGGATCAACGAGGTTACTTATAGGTTATTACTTCCCCATGATAATCGTATTAACCCCTCGTTTCATGTGTCTCTCCTCAGGCCGGTGGTGGCTGGTCCGCTCCAGGAGTCTAAGGTGCGGGAGGTCCCTCCGCCTCCTCTGGACATCGAGGGGGCCCCGGCGTACTCCGTCCATTCCATCCTGGATTCGAGGCGTCGGGTGGGGGGCCTTCAGTACCTCGTGGAGTGGGAGGGGTACGGTCCCGAGGAACGGTGCTGGGTCCCGGTGAGGGATATCCTCGATCCCTCCCTGTTGAGGGATTACCACGGTCGCCATCCCGCTCGCCCTGCTCCGCGTCCTCCTGGCCGTCCCCGACGCCGGTGTCGGCGCGCTGCTGGAGCTGTGCGTCAAGGGGGGGTACTGTCACGACTTCCTCTGAAGCTGCCTCCTCTCCTTGTTCGGGCAGGCTTCGGCGTTCGTTGTCACCGGCCTTCTAGCCACTGCCGCATCACATCTCATCATTCCATTTGTTTTGTTTTGTCTTGTCTATTACACACACCTGGTTCATATCCCCTCATTAGTACGTGTATAAGTGTTCCCTCTGCCCCCCTGTCCTTGTGGGTGATTGTTTAATGTGAGGAGAGAGTAGCTTGGTTGAGTTACGTGTATTTTGTATTGCTGGGGTATATTTTCCCCGTGTGACTGTTTTGTTCCAGTGCGTCTGTTTTTGCGCACTGGACTGTTTGACGCTATCCTGCGTAACTCTGTACTCCGGAATAAACTCTGTATTCTGTGATTTACCCTCCTGCGCCTGACTCCTTCAAATCATCCATCACAGTAAATTAAGGTCTTGAACATATGCTACAAGTGTAAGAATGTATGTGGGTGCTAAATGCTAATTGTTTATTTATATGCACGTGCTCACTTTGTGCCTCTGCAGTCTGTGTCTGATCTCCCTGCTTCTCTTGTGTTTGCACAGCTTTGTAGGCTTCACTTCTATTTGGTGAGCTGTCTACTTGCTACGCCCTTCTCTTTGGTGAGCTGTCTGCTTGTTGGGCCCTTCTCTTTGGTGAGCTGTCTGCTTCTTGGGCCCTTCTCTTTGGTAAGCTGTCCGCTTCTTGAGCTGGGGGAAGGGGGAGCAGGGGGGCCTGACCCTGGCTGATACAGGGGGGTCGTGTAGGGGCCCATCGGAGGTATCCTGGCATAGGCCAGGGCAGTGGGGGGGATTTGTTTTCCCTAAACAGCTGAAACAACAGCTACTTTAATAACACATCCTGCTTCATGTAGAGAGAGCAAGTATTGTGAATAGAAAAGTTTTGTCTATGTCCTGATGTGAAATGGCTGCCCTGAAAAATTGAGAAGTCTATTATAGCGCTTGATGGTTTTTGCGATTGCACTTGAAGAAACGTTCAAAGTTTTCCGGATTGACTGACCGTCATGTCTTAAAGTAAAGATGGACTGTTGTTTCTCTTTGCTTATTTGAGCTGTTCTTGCCATAATATGGACTTGGTCTTTTACCAAATAGGGCTGTCTTCTGTATACCCCCCCCCCCCCCCCCCCCCCCCCCTACCTTGTCACAACACAACTGATTAGCTCAAACGCATTAAGAAGGAAATACATTCCACAAGTTAACTTTTAATAAGGCACACCTGTTAATTGAAATGAATTCCAGGTGACTACCTCATGAAGCTGGTTGAGAGAATGCCAAGCGTGTGCAAAGCTGTCATCAAGGCAAAGAGTGGCTACTTTGAAGAATCTCAAATATAAAATGTATTTTGATATGTTTAACACTTTTTTGGGTACTACATGATTCCATATTTGTTATTTCATAGTTTTGATGTCTTCACTATTATTCTACAATGTAGAAAATAGTAAAAATAAAGAAAAACCCTTGAATGAGTAGAAGTGTCCAAACTTCTGACCGGTACTGTATATATTTCTAATTCTCTTAATAAAATTTAAAACTTCTGACAAGAGACAATTGTGTTTTTATGGCAAGTGAAAATGTCAAGATCTCTTCTGATTGTTCTACCAGCAGGTTGCAGAGTTGATAGATAGCTATCTCAGCAACCTGAGTAGGAATGTGTCAACTAATCCGGCCGTGATTGGGAGTCCCATAGGGCGGCGCACAATTGGCCCAGCATCGTCTGGGTTTGGCCGGGGTAGACCGTCATTGTAAATAAGAGTTCAAGATGTCCTGGGTCAGGGGGTGTGGTCAGGCCTGTGAGAGTAGAGAGATGTGGGGAACAGTGGGAGTTTATATTGCTCTGCGGTCTCACCTCTTTCACTTTCTCTATTGAACACAGACACACAGATACGCAGACATGAATAGAGTGCTCTGGACCTCTTGACACACTGAGCCCAGGGAACCAGTGCTCCCAAGGTAACAACAAGGTAAGACTTCCACAATGTCTCAATTCCTCTCTGCTTATTTCTCTCATACTCCATATTTTTAACCCCCAGCAGTATTATTATTCTATAATAGTGTAGATTGTTGGCAGGGCAGACTACAGCCTGTACAATATGGATAATGGCATTATCGCAATGCAAATATTCTGGGTAGCCATGATTAGCTGTTCAGGAGTCTTATGGCTTGGGGGTAGAAGCTGTTAAGAAGCCTTTTGGACCTAGACTTGGCTCTCCGGTACTGCTTGCCGTGCGGTAGCAGAGAGAACAGTCTATGACTAGGGTGGCTGGAGTCTTTGACAATTTTTAGGGCCTTCCTCTGACACCGTCTGGTACAGAGGTCCTGGATAGCAGGAAGCTTGGCCCCAGTGATGTACTGGGCCGTACGCACTACCCTCTGTAGTGCCTTGCGGTCGTAGGCTGAGCAGTTGCCAAACCAGGCAGTGATGCAACCAGTCAGGATGCTCTCGATGGTGCAGCTGTAGAACATTTTGAGGATCTGAGGACCCATGCCACATTTTTTCAGTTTTGAACACAACCACAAGGATTCACACTGATGGCCAAGCAATGTCATTGTCACAGCGTGCACCAACGGTGTCTTTACTGCATTAGGTCATGATGGTCTGAAACAATTTTTTTCCATTTACCAAATTACTTTTTAGCTCTTTCATTCTCTCTCTATCTCACACACATACACACACTTACTTTTATGCATACTATAGGCTTACACATTTTCCCTAGGCATACGTCTTATTAAGAACTGTACTAAAACAAAGATTGGATCCATTTTTCATGTAAACACGAAGTGAAACTGTAGACGGGAGGGTGAGGCAACTTTGGGAAGTTCTTGTAATTTCAGTTCCAAAGAATGCAATGATAATGTGCTTACATCCGTGCTACTAATTAGGAACGTGTCTGTGCTGTCTTAGTGGTGGGCACCAATATCAATAATGTGATATGATATCATTATTGGTTGAGCAAGGCATATCGTGATATTGTTTTATCCTTGCTGTTAACCTACACTTTTATGTAAAAGAGCATACACTTGCTCACTAGCTTCCGAGAACTCACCCATTTCGAAATCTTCCCTCTTTTACCTACTCTACACATGCCCTTAATGATGAAGTTTACACATGCCCTTAATGATGCGGTGAAGCAAATGCAGCACCATGGCATGCCCAGTAGTACACAAATTCACCATAATCACACAATGTAAGAGAGATGGACAGAGATATTCAGCTTAGTCAACTGGTCTCAGATCATCATGTTAATGTACAATCAAATAGTGTTACTTTACAATAGTTGGAGAAAGATATTCACCTTGTTTTATGACATTTTGTAACCATTGCAGACCTGAATGATGTTCATTTGGTGGTTCCTGGCACTGCTGCTGGGATCTGTTGAGATATATAGAGGTATGGTGACCTTACACACACACACATATACACTTGATTAAGTGCACTTTAACTGTGTCACACATAGGGTGGGGATATCAAATAATAGCCCCCCAGCTATTGGCAGACCATTTGGAAACTTTAAAGCATCACATAAATAGGCTGTGTAAGCAGTCACTTAAAGGAAAGACTGCTTATGTTACTTCCCAATCAGCAATGACAGTGATTTCTCCTTTCTGACTCTCTTTCCCCTTGAATAACCCTGTCTCCAGCACATGAATGTGATGTGTTCACTTATCTGAACCTTCATCACGCTATCATTGGAACCAGTCTGTATGTGAAGCTGTTACTGTACACCAGAGCTAATCTGACCTGTGGTCAGGAGCTGTCCCACCATAACCTGTCAGCCCAGCCCCAGTTCAACCTCACCAAGCCCACCACTTTTATCGTTCATGGCTACCATCCTACGGGCGCTCCGCCCAACTGGATGAATATCATGATAGAGCAGCTGCTGGCCCGCGGAGACATGAATGTCCTGGTGGTGGACTGGAACCGCGGAGCTGCCAATATCAACTACCTGAAAGTTGTGGCCTACACACGAGATACAGCGGACAACCTCGCTGCCTTCATCCAAAACATGCAGGTAAGAATGGGTGCTTAGTCTGAATACCTGACATATTTGATAAGGGCCAAACGTATTACTTTGTACTAACAGTGTAGTATCTATTTTGCCTGTTTTGTCTGTGTCAGGAGAATGGTGCCTCTCTTAGTTCCATCCATATGATTGGGGTCAGTCTAGGAGCTCACATCACAGGCTTTGTTGGAGCCAAGTTCAATGGCAAAATTGGAAGGATCACAGGTTAGAATCAACAGAATAGATTTTCTGTTTCTTCTTAGTCATTTATATTATGGATACTGACATTTTATTATACCCACATTTATCCTGTAAATGTACAGATGTAGGCCGTCATTGAAAATAAGAATTTGTTCTTAACTGACTTGCCTAGTTAAATAAAGGTAACATTTAAAAAAATGTAGGATCTTAATTTGAGCCAGTTTGCTACAGCAGGAAAAATAATCCTGCAGCAACAGGAAATGTGAATTATTATGTGGATTATAATTAATGGACATTTTTTGTAGGGGTTGATACATTTCTCGTTAGGGCAAAACAAGTCTGACATTTTAAAGTGGAAATTACAAACTTTAGAAGGCTTTTTAAACCTTTACATGTATCCTATACATGTACAGATGTAGGAGCTTAATTTGAGCCAGTTTGCTACAGCAGGAAAATAATCCTGCAGCAACAGGAAATGTTAATTATTATGTGGATCATAATTAATGGCATTTTTTTGTAGGGGTTGATACATTTCTCGTTAGGGCAAAACAAGTCTGACATTTTAAAGTGGAAATTACAGACTTTAGAAGGCTTTTTAAACCTTGAATACACTACAAGTTTGATCAAATTAACATCCTACATCTGTACTGATCTGATGTTGACCTGATCAGCTCTAGATCCAGCGGGGCCTCAGTTCAATGGGAAACCCCCAGAGGATCGTCTGGACCCTACAGATGCACAGTTTGTGGACGTTGTGCACACAGACATGGACGGTATGTGCCTCTGCTTGCCTGTTTGGTTTACGACAATGGGAATCATGTAGTCATGTGATGTGTTTCCTGTTCTGTCACGTATTCATTGTGCGTTACCAGCATTTGGTTTCAGGAAGCCTTTGGGCCACATTGATTTCTATGCTAATGGTGGAGCCGACCAGCCTGGCTGTCCACTGACCATCTTCTCAGGTAAGTCGCTTAGTAAGAGCCCGTCCTTCAAATGATATATGTGTATCACATAGTTTATTCCTGTAATGGTAAATACATCACTGATGTCCTAGGTCCATCCTCAGTTCTCCCCTTCCTACTCTCCCAGGGTCTGGCTATTTTAAGTGTGACCACCAGAGATCAGTGCTCCTCTATCTGGGTTCCCTGAACCGGACCTGTAACATCAGGGCCTTCCCCTGCACCTCCTACACTGACTTCCTGGACGGACTTTGCATGGACTGTGATCAATTCAAACCTGCCGGATGCCCTGTATTTGGTGGGCACTCTAACTCCCATTAGATTCATGAGTTTCATCTCATTAAAAGCTTTTTTTAATCACATACACTACCGGTCAAAAGTTTTAGAACACCAAGTCATTCAAGGGTTTTTCTTTATTTTTACTATTTTCTACATTGTAGAATAATAGTGAAGACATCAGAACTATGAAATAACACATATGGAATCATGTAGTAACCAAAAAAGTGTCTTTGCCTTGATGACAGCTTTGCACACTCTTGGCATTCTGAGGTGTGACCCAGGTGCGGTGCAGGATATACAGTAGGCCGTAGGCAGAGATGGTGAAACAAGGATCTTTACTGGTGGTCCCGAAGCCAAAATTCAAAATAACGGACTTATCACGATAAAAGAAAGGCGGAGCAAATAAGTCTCCAAAAACCGGCTGACAGCCAAAATACAAAATCCTACCAACGACTTAAACAAATAATGAAACAGGGAGAACACTTCTCAAGTACCTGTACATAGGTCTCCGATCAGACACTGAGTAGTACTGCTGGACATACAGAAACGAACAGAGAAAACTGAGCAAGGGAACACAGGACATAAATACACAGGTGAACAGGTAGACACAGGTGACACCAATAGGATACTGATTAGTCCAGACTGTGAGTGAGGAGGTGCCTAAGGTTGTCGGAGGATGACACCTAGTGGGTCGCTCCGGAACTGCGACCCCTTCCTGTAATACAACCAGCTTCACCTGGAATGCTTTTCCAACAGTCTTGAAGGAGTTCCCACATATGCTGAGCAATTGTTGGCTGCTTTTCCTTCACTCTGCGGTCCAACTCATCCCAAACCATCTCAATTGGGTTGAGGTTGGGTGATTGTGGAGGCCAGGTCATCTGATGCAGCACTCCATCACTCTCCTTCTTGGTCAAATAGCCCTTACACAGCCTGAAGGTGTGTTGGGTCATTGTCCTGTTGAAAAACAAATGATAGTCCCGAGTGGCGCAGTGGTCTAAGGCACTGCATCTCAGTGCTTGAGGCGTCACTACAGACCCCCTGGTTCGATTCCAGGCTGTATCACAACCGGCCGTGATTGGGAGTCCCATAGGGCGGCGCACAATTGGCCCAGCGTCGTCCGGGTTTGGCCGGTGTAGGCCATCATTGTAAATAAGAATTTGTTCTTAACTGACTTGCCTAGTTAAATAAAGGTAAAAATAAAATAAGCCCAAACCAGATGGGATGGCGTATCGCTGAAGAATGCTGTGGTAGCCATGCTGGTTAAGTGTGCCTTGAATTCTAAATAAATCACTGACAGTGTCACCAGCAAAGCACCCCCACACTATAACACCTCCTCCTCCATGCTTTATGGTGGCAAATACACATGCGGAGATCATCCGTTCACTCACACCGCGTCTCACAAAGACACGGCGGGGTTGGAACCAAATATCTCCAATTTGGACTCCAGACCAAAGGACAAATTTCCACCGGTCTAAATGTCCATTGCTCGTGTTTCTTGGCCCAAGCAAGTCTCTTATTCTTATTGGTGTCCTTTAGTAGTGGTTTCTTTGCAGCAATTCAACCATGAAGGCCTGATCCATACAGTCTCCTCTGAATAGTTGATGTTGAGATGTGTCTGTTACTTGAACTCTGTGAAGCATTTATTTGGGCTGCAATTTCTGAGGCTGGTAACTCTAATGAACTTATCCTCTGCAACAGAGGTAACTCTGGGTCTTCTATTCCTGTGGCGGTCCTCATGAGAGCCAGTTTCACAGTTTCATCATAGCACTTGATGGTTTTTGCAACTACACTTGAAGAAACGTTCAAAGTTCTTGACATTTTCCAGATTGACTGACCTTCATGTCTTAAAGTAATGATGGACTGTCATTTGTCTTTGCTTATTTTAGCTGTTTTTGCCATAATATGGACTTGGTCTTTTACCAAATAGGGCTATCTTCTGTATACCCACCACCCCTACCTTGTCACAACACAACTGATTGGCTCAAACGCATTAAGAAGGAAAGACATTCCATAAATTAACTTTTAAGAAGGCACACTTGTTAATTGAAATGCATTCCAGGTGACTACCTCATGAAGCTGGTTGAGAGAATGCCAAGAGTGTGCAAAGCTGTCATCAAGGCAAAGGGTGGCTATTTGAAGAATCTCAAATATAAAATATGTTTTGATTTGTTTAACACTTTTTTGGTTACTACATGATTCCATATGTGTTATTTCATAGTTTTGATGTCTTCACTATTATTCTACAATGTAGAAAATAGTAAAAATAAAGAAAAACCCTTGAATGAGTAGGTGTTTAAAACTTTTGACTGGTAGTGTACGTAATCACATAAAGATGTGATAGTTTCCCTAATCGTCAAAATCAAGGCCTTAATTAAGCTAATGTACATTACTGAATCACACATAGGCTGCTTTTCCACAGGCAGCCCAATTCTGATATTTTTTCCCCCACTAATTGCTCTTTTGACCAATCACATCAGATCTTTTTCAGAGATACCTGTCTAATCGCAACCATAGTTCTTCAATCTATTTTTTGGAAGGCAGTGTCCCTTCAAGTAGACATAACATGGCTGTTTTATCTGTTGTTTCAGGTTATGATATCATAGAGTGGAAAAACTCTCTGGTGCCTCTGCGGCAAACCAAGGCTTTCTTCACCACCAATAAACAGACTCCATACTGCAGTAAGTGGATAATCATCAGCTTGCACACACATTTGACCTCTCTAAAGAGAGACTTGCTGGGAATACTGTTGTACGTAATGGCCAGTCGTTTTTCTGTGACGGTCTTCCTGGTCTAGCTTTGCATGCCTGGCTTATTTTCAATGATCAGGCAAAATGTACAGTATAGCAAGACTAACAAGAGCTCTGTAAAAGTTGTTAAAATATGTTGCTGTGCATATTCATTGAATGGAAACATACAGAGATCTGTAACTACAGTGGCTTGTGAAACTATTTACCCCCCTTGGCATTTTTCCTATTTTGTTGCCTTACAACCTGGAATTAAAATAGATTTTTGGGGGGTTTGTATCATTTGATTTACACAACATGCCTACCACTTTGAAGATGCAAAATATTTTTTCTTGTGAAACAAACAAGAAATAAGACAAAAAAACTGAAAACTCGAGCGTGCATAACTATTCACCCCCCCCCCAAAGTCAATACTTTGTAGAGACAACTTTTGCAGCAATTACAGCTGCAAGTCTCTTGGGGTATGTCTCTATAAGCTTAGCACATCTAGCCACTGGGATGTTTGCACATTCTTCAAGGCAAAACTGCTCCAGCTCCTTCAAGTTGGATGGGTTCTGCTGGTGTACAGCAATCTTTAAGTCATATCACAGATTCTCAATTGGATTAGGCCATTCCAAGACATTTAAATGTTTCCCCTTAAACCACTCGAGTGTTGCTTTAGCAGTATGCTTAGGGTCATTGTCCTGCTGGAAGGTGAACCTCTGTCCAAGTCTCAAATCTCTGGAAGACTGAAACAGGTTTCCCTCAAGAACTTCCCTGTATTTAGCGCCATCCATCATTCCTTCAATTCTGACCAGTTTCCCAGTCCCTGCCGATGAAAAACATCCCCACAGGATGATGCTGCCACCACCATGCTTCACTGTGGGGATGGTGTTCTCGGGGTGATGAGAGGTGTTGGGTTTGCGCCAGACATAGCGTTTTCCTTGATGGCCAAAAAGCTCAATTTTAGTCTCATCTGACCAGAGTACATTCTTCCATATGCTTGGGGAGTCTTCCACATGCCTTTTGGCGAACACCAAACGTGTTTGCTTATTTTTTTTTTAAGCATTGGCTTTTTTCTGGGCCAGCTCTGTGGAGTGTAAGGCTTAAAGTGGTCCTATGGACAGATACTCCAATCTCCACTGTGGAGCGTTGCAGCTCCTTCATGGTTATCTTTGGTCTCTTTGTTGACTCTCCGATTAATACCCTCCTTGCCTTTTCTGTGAGTTTTGGTGAGCGGCCCTCTCTTGGCAGGTTTGTTGTGGGACATATTCTTTCAATTTTTTAATAATGGATTTAATGGTGCTCAGTGGGATGTTCAAAGTTTCGGATATTTTTTTATAACCCAACCCTGATCTGTACTTCTCCACAACTTTGTCCCTGACCTGTTTGGAGAGCTCCTTGGTCTTCATGGTGCCCCTTGCTTAGTGGTGTTGCAGACTCTGGGGCCTTTCAGAACAGGTGTATACATTGGTGTGAAAAATGTTTTTGCCCCCTTCCTGATTTCTTATTTGTTTGCATGTTTGTCACACTTAAATGTTTCAGATCATCAAACAAATTTAAATATTAGTCAAAGATAACACAAGTAAACACAAAATGCAGTTTTGAAATGAAGGTTGTTATTATTAAGGGAAAACCATATCCAAACCCACAAGTGATTGCCCCCTACAACCTAATAACTGGTTGGGCCACCCTTAGCAGCAACAACTGCAATCAAGCGTTTGCAATAACTTGCAATGAGTCTTTTACAGCGCTGTGGAGGAATTTTGGCCCACTCATCTTTGCAGAATTGTTGTAATTCAGCCACATTGGAGGGTTTTCGAGCATGAACTGCCTTTTTAAGGTCATGCCACAGTATCTCAATGGGATTCAGGTCAGGACTTTGACTAGGCCACTCCAAAGTCTTCATTTTGTTTTTCTTCAGCCATTCAGAGGTGGACTTGCTGGTGTGTTTTGGATCAATGTCCTGCTGCAGAACCCAAGTTCGCTTCAGCTTGAGGTCACGAACAGATGGCCGGACATTCTCCTTCAGGATTTTTTGGTAGACAGCAAAATTCATGGTTCCATTTATCACAGCAAGTCTTCCAGGTCCTGAAGCAGCAAAACAGGCCCAGACCATCACACTACCACCACCATATTTTACTGTTTGGTATGATCTTTTTCTGAAATGCGGTGTTACTTTTACGCCAGATGTAATGGGACACACACCTTCCAAAAAGTTCAACTTTTGTCTCGTCAGTCCACAGAGTATTTTCCCAAAGGGTTTGGGGATCATCAAGATGTTTTCTGGCAAAAATGAGACAAGCCTTATTATTTAGTTATTTTTGCTCAGCAGTGGTTTTCGTCTTGGAACTCTGCCATGCAGGCCATTTTTGCCCAGTCTCTTTCTTATGGTGGAGTCATGAACACTGACCTTAACTGAGGCAAGTGAGGCCTGCAGCTCTTTGGATGTTGTTGTGGGGTCCTTTGTGACCTCTTGGATGAGTCGTCGCTGCGCTCTTGGGGTAATTTTGGTCGGCCGGCCACTCCTGGGAAGGTTCACCACTGTTCCATGTTTTCGCCATTTGTGGATAATGGCTCTCAGTGTGGTTCGCTGGAGTCCCAAAGCTTTAGAAATGGCTTTATAACCTTTTCCAGACTGATGGATCTCAATTACTTTCTTTCTCATTTGTTCCTGAATGTCTTTGGATCTCGGCATGATGTCTAGCTTTTGAGGATCTTTTGGTCTACTTCACTTTGTCCGGCAGGTCCTATTTAAGTGATTCCTTGATTGAGAACAGGTGTGGCAGTAATCAGGCCTGGGTGTGGCTAGAGGAATTGAACTCAGGTGTGATAAACCACAGTTGAGTTGTGTTATAACAGGGGGGGGCAAACACTTTTTCACACAGGGCCATGTAGGTTTGGATTTTGTTTTCCCTTAATAATAACAACCTTCATTTCAAAACTGCATTTTGTGTTTACTTGTGTTATCTTTGACTAATATTTACATTTGTTTGATGATCTGAAACATTTAAGTGTGACAAACATGCAAACAAATAACAAATCAGGAAGTCAAGATCATGTGACACTTAGATTGCACACAAGTGGACTTTATTTAACTAATTATGTGACTTCTGAAGGTAATTGGTTGCACCATATCTTATTTAGGGGCTTCATAGCAAAGGGGGTGAATACATATACCACTTTTCCGTTATTTATTTTTTAGAATTTTTTGAAACAAGTTATTTTTTTCATTTCACTTCACAAATCTGGACTATTTTGTGTATGTCCATTACATGAAATCCAAATAAAAATCCATTTAAATTATAGGTTGTAATGCAACAAAATAGGAAAAATGCCAAGGGGGTTGAATACTTTTGCAAGGCATTATAGGTCATTGGTCAGAGGAAATCAAATTCATTGATGTATTTTCCTCTCTCTCTCTCTCTCACTCTCTCACTCTCTCACTCAGAGACAAACTATTGGGTGGACATTGTAACATGGAACCATGATACTCTCTGGGGCTACATCACCATCAAACTACACAATGGTAGTGAGGTGACAGAGGCAACAATAAACCAGTAGGTAACTATTTTCTCACTGTATCATTCTCAAAACGACACATACTGTACATACGGTATGGATAGACACTCTGGAGAACCTCATTAACATCTCATATGCTCTCCTTCTTCAGTAAAGCATCCAGTTTTAAGAAGTACTCAGAGACCCGATTACTGGCCCAGTTTGAAAAAGACCTTCAGAAAGTCCACAAGATCTCAATCAAATTCTCCAGGGTGAATGTATTTCAACCTAAGTACAAACTACGGGTGCTCCGCATCCGTCTCACACACCTGGAGCGCGAAGACAGGTCAGTGTTATGTCACATCCTCTTTCAGCTAGGACTTCTCTCACTTGTCACCTATTTTCTACATGTAACATCTTTTCTTCTACTTTTCCCTTTCATGTTGTTGGAAAATGTTGTTAGCAATTATAATTTGATTAAAATTGGAAATGTTAAATAGACCTTGTGTTAAGGGAAATGTAAATACTGCCGATGAAAGGGATCTTTTGGGGTTGAGAGAAGAGTAAAAGGTATGTTGTTGCAACAGGAAATTATACTTAGATAACGACATCCTGTGTATCTGCAGTTCGAGGCATACTTAGAAAGTGTACATGTTACACTTAGAAAAGCAGTTTATGTTACGAATTTGCGAAACGTACAATATGTTATGAATTTGCTAAACGTATGATATGTTAACGAATTCCAATTTGTTGTGGCTAACGTTAGCTAAGTGGCTAGGTGGCTAACACTAACGCTAGATCTACGGGTTAGGGTTAAGGTTAGGAGTTAAGTTAAATGGTTAAGGTTAGGGTTAGGGGAAGGGTTAGCTAACATGCTAAGTAGTAAGTAGTTGCAAATTTGCTAAGCAGCTAAACTTGTCTATGATGATTCGAACATGCCATCACATTATACGTCCATACATCCCAACCACCCTCCTTTTGTTTTTGAATTTTAAGACCCCTTGAAGTATCCCAAAAAGATAGAAACAAATATTTTATGAAAAAGTATTTTTGGCCTTACTGCTATTAGACCATACAAACGCATTGAATAACAGATTCACTACATGGAACAACAGATAGTCCCCCCAAAAAATCTAACGGAAGTTTGTTCTGAAGTGTCTGTCCTATATCTGAGAGATATAAGCAAGATCAGGAAATATTTTATGTACATATTTAACCCCATTTTTTTTTTTACACTAAACAGTCTAAGCCCTGTCTAAGCCAGGGGGGGATTTTTTTAAGAAGGTCATACCAAGGATAATTTTGTTATCTGATTTTGAATTTTAAGACCCCTTGAAGTATAAAAAAATAACATTACAAAATTATTTGATGAAAAATGTTATTTGGCCTTACTGCTATTAGCCCATACAAACACATTTAATAACATATTCACTACATGGAACAACAAATAGTCCCTATATCTGAGAGGTATAAGAAAGATCAGGAAACACGTTTTTATTTTGTTTACATGTGTTTAACCCCTTATTTTTGTCACTAAACAGTCTCCATATATACTTCCATAAATATTTTTCGACTGCTACCGGGACCTTCAGACAAGTCAAAACAACTGACATGTACGTGTTCGTGAGAGTGTTGTTCCCAAATATTAATGGTATTGAGAATTATTGGATTGTCTGTTTTTTTCTTCAACGCCTTGGTCCCAAAGTAGTAAATATATTTTTGATCATACAGTATTACATTTGTGGCTTCGATACTCCTCCATGCACAAGGATAGTCTGCTGTCCATTGTTTAAGTGAACGCAGTAATACATCTTCATATGAGGTAGTCCAAGACCTCCAGCTTTATAGGAGTAAGTGTAAAACAGTCAATTTGACTATTGAGGTTATAAATAAAATAATAAATAAATAAATAAAGTTGGAGAGCAGGACATTTATTCTATTTAAAAAGTTGGATGGAATTGAAACTGGCAAGGCCTGGAAAAAATACACCAACCTTCGTAATATATTCATTTTGATTATGTTGACCCTACCTAACATAGAAATAGGGAGAGATCTCCATCACTGAACATCAGATTCATTCCTATCTATTAAAGGAGAGTAATTGATTTTATATGCCTCCTCCAGATGGCATGGTATCAGTACTCCCAGGTATTTCATATGTGTCTTTGTCCATTTCCGCTTAAATGTACTTTCTAAGCTTGAGAAGTCATAATTGCAAATGGGTATTATTTCAGTTTTCTCCCAATTCACTTTGAATCCTGATACAGCACCGTATGTGTCCAACAGTAGTAAAATAAATGACTCTGTGACTAAAGAAAATAAAGAACTAGACAAAGGGCATCCATGTCTTGTCCCTCTTGATAACTTAAATAATTCAGAGATCTGACCATGTGTTCGTATAGACGCTTTGGGGAAATTTGTACAATAGTTCAATCCAGGAAATAGAAACCGGACCAAAACCAAGCTTTTTTAAGACAGCCACCAAATATGCCCATTACACCCTATCGAATGCTTTTTCAGCATCTATTGATACTGCCACTTTTGAAGCATTCAAGTTTTTGGTATGATGGATTATAAAGTTATAAAATACGAATTATAAAGTACGAAAATGTATGCACTCACTACTGTAAGTGTAAGTCTCTCTGGATAAGAGCGTCTGCTAAATGACTAAAATGTAAATGTAATTATATTGAAAAAACGGCGGCGATTGTGTGAAAACCCTATTTGATCTGAGTGAATCAACTTTTTAATTTTTTTTTCTCCTCAATGATTTTGTAATCCACATTCAAAAGTGATACTGGGCGGAAGGATCCGCATTATGGGGGATTGTAGCCAAACATAGTGACTGGGGAAGTTCATTTTTCTCTAGAGCTACTGTGAGTATAAGTAACATAGGCTATAGTAATTTGGGACGAAAGTGTCTATAAAATTCCACTGGGAATCCATCATTACCAGGAGATTTCCCAATTTGTAGATTATTGATGGCCTCCAACAGTTCAATAATAATAATAATGTAGGTAATGTTTATATCCATATACATTATCTCTGGTTCACTTATCATTGGTCAAATGGCCTTCAGGAAATTGTCTATATCCTCCTTTGAACTTTTGTTTTTCGGCTTGATACGGTTTGTGATAGAATGTTTTCAAGACTGAGTCAATTTCAGAAGGATCCATTGTTATGCTACCATCTGGGGTTTGAATGTTATACAGTAGATGGTATGTTCCTCTTTCTTAATTTATTGGATTTTATGGCAGCAATCTGCAGATCAGGTGTTTATTGTGTTATATTCAAGCTTCAAAATGTTCAACTGGTGAAGGGTGTCAACATTTCTATCTAAACTGCATTTTCGTTCTGTTGTGGATTTTCTGTTCTAGTATTTCTAGTTCTTTATGGGTCATCTTTTTCTTATGTGAAGAGTGTATGCTTTATATGCTTCATATATGCTTTAAGAGCTTCCCAGACAATAGTTGGGCATACTTCATTGTATACATTTATTTCTAAAAACATGTCTATCTGTGTTGAGTAACATTGTGTTGAATCGTCATGTTTTTGCGATTGAGCTTAAGCGTAAAGGACAATATTATCATCCGTAATTATTGTAGTAAGATCCAGTCCCCTTGACTTTTTTCACATTTTGTTACATTACAGTCTTATAAAAAAATTAATTAAAAAAAAAAAAATCCTCATCAATCTACACACAATATCCCATAATGAAAAAGCGAAAACAGGTTTTTAGAAATTTTAACAAATTTATTAAAAATAAAAAAACTGAAATACCTTATTTACATAGGTATTCAGACCCTTTGCTATGAGACTCGAAATTGAGCTCAGGTGCATCCTGTTTCCATTGATCATCCTTGAGATGTTTCTACAACTTGATTGGAGTCTACCTGTGGTAAATTCAATTTATTGGACATGATTTGGAAAGGCACACTCCTGTCTATATCAGCTCCCACAGTTGACAGTGCATGTCCGAGCAAAAACCAAGCCGAGCTCCGAGACAGGATTGTGTCGAGGCACAGATGTGGGGAAGTGTACCAAAAAATGTCTGCAGCATTGAAGGTCCCCAAAAAGACAGTGGCTTCCATCATTCTTAAATGGAAGAAGTTTGGAACCACCAAGACTCTTCCTAGAGCTGGCCGCCTGGCCAAATTGAGCAAGCGTGGGAGAAGGGCCTTGGTCAGGGAGGTGACCAAGAACCTGATGGTCACTCTGACAGAGTTCCTCTGTGGAAATGGGAGAACCTCCCGAAAGTACAACCATCTCTGCTTCCACGCCTCAGCCGGCTCGTCAGGCTCCCATGCCTCAGCCGGCTCATCAGGCTCCCACGCCTCAGCCGGTCTGTCATGCTCGACAGGTTCCCCATGCCTCGGCCGGCCTGTCAGGCAGGATAGGTTCCCGCGCCTCGACCGGCTCGTCCGGCTCCCATGCCTCGGCTAGCCCGTCAGGCTCGCCCAGGTGGGACGCCGGGTGGCGTCCCTAGAGGGGGGGTACTGTCACGCCTGCTCCCGCTCCCCCTCCCTGGCGCTCGAGGGCGCCAGGCTGCCCATCATTACGCACACCTGTCACCATCATTACGCGCATCTGTGCTTCATTGGACTCACCTGGACTTCATCACTGTTTAATTACCTCCCCTATATCTGTCTGTTCCTCAGTTTGATCTCCGTGTCAGCATTAATGTCGTTATGTTTCCCCTGTCTAGACGCTGTCCATGTTTTGTTTCATGTCTGTTTATATTAAATGTTCACTCCCTGTCCCTGCTTCTCGTCTCCCAGCGTCTGTCCTCACAGTCACATCTGGAGGAAACCTGGCACCATCCCTACGGTGAAGCATGGTGGTGGCAGCATCATGCTGTGGGGATGTTTTTCAGCGGCAGGGGCTGGGAGACTAGTCAGGATTGAGGGAAAGATGAATGGAGCAATGTACAGAGAGATCCTTGATGAAAACCTGCTCCAGAGTGCTCAGGACCTCAGACTGGGGCGAAGGTTCATCTTCCAACAGGACAATGACCCTAAGTACATAGCCAAGACAACGTAGGAGTGGCTTCGGGACAAGTCTCTGAATGTCCTTCAGTTGCCCAGTCAGAGCCCGGACTTGAACCCTATCGAACAACGCTGGAGAGACCTGAAAATAACTGTGCAGCGACACTCCCCATCCAACCTGACAGAGACTGAGAGGATCTGCAGATAAGAATGGGAGAAACTCCCCAAATACAGGTGTGCCAAGCTTGTAGCGTCATACCCAAGAAGACTTGAGGCTGTAATCGCTGCCAAAGGTGCTTCAACAAAGTACTGAGCAAAGGGTCTGAATACTTATGTAAATGTGATATTCCGTTTTTTATTTTTTTATACATTTGCTAAAAATTCTTTAAACCAGTTTTTGCTTTATCATTATGGGGTATTGTGTGTAAATTGATGAGGGGGGAAAACAATTTAATCAATTTTACAATAAGGTTGTAACGTAACAAAATGTGGAAAAGGTCAAGGGATCTGAATACTTTCCGAATGCACTGTATATACAGAAGTATATGGACCCTTCAAATTAGTGGATTCGGCTATTTCAGCCACACCCGTTGCTGACAGGTGTATAAAACCGAGCACACAGCCATGCAATCTCCAAAGACAAACACTGTCAGTAGAATGGCCCGTACTGAAGAGCTCAGTGACTTTCAACGTGGGACCATCATAGGATGACACCTTTCCAACAAGTCAGTTCATCTAATTTCTGCCCTGCTAGAACTGCCCTGGTCAACTGTAAGTGCTGTTATTGTGAAGTGGAAACGTCTAGGAGCAACAACGGCAAAGTGGTAGGCCACACAAGCTCACAGAACGGGACCACCGAGTGCTGTAGCGCGTAGCGCATAAAAATCGTCTGTCCTCAGTTGCAACACTTACTACTGAGTTCCAAACTGCTTCTGGAAGCAACGTCAGAACAATAACTGTTCGTCGGGAAGCTTCATGAAATGGGTTTCCATGGCCGAGTAGCCGCACACAAGCCTAAGATCACCATGCGCAATGCCAAGCTTCGGCTGGAGTGGTGTAAAGCATGCCGCCATTGGACTCTGGAGCAGTGGAAACGCGTTCTCTGGAGTGATGACTCATACTTCACCATCTGGCAATCTGACGGACGAATCTGGGTTTGGCGGATGCCAGGAGAACGTTACCTGCCCGAATGCATAGTGCCAACTGTAAAGTTTGGTGGAGGAGGAATAATGGTCTGGGGCTGTTTTTTATGGTTCGGGCTAGGCCCCTTAACGCTACAGCATACATTGATATTCTAGACAATTCTGTGCTTCCAACATTGTGGCAACAGTTTCGGGAAGGCCCTTTCCTGTTTCAGTGTGACAATTCCCCCGTGCATAAAGCAAGGTCCATACAGAAATGGTTTGTCGAGATCGGTGTGGAAGAACTTGACTGGCCTGCACAGAGCCCTGACCTCAACCCCATCGAACACCTTTGGGATGAATTGGAACGCCAACTTAATATAAACACATAGAAGGAATCTTTAATCTTTTAAGTCAATTTTAGACATTTTTCCTTTGCTCTGAGAGCCTTTTCATCTTGAGGGGGGAGAGAAAGTCTATTGTTTCTTGAAAGCCTATCATTAACATTATGTTAAACAAAAGCCATTTTGCATAGGGTTGCCTAAGGGGATGTAGTTAAAGGCGCCAAAAGCATTATGTATTGTCAAATAAATAATGAATTTGTCATGTACACGTGATTAAATGTAACCACAAGGACTTCTTAAGCCTGTTGTGAAATTTTTTATAAACGTTTATTATTTCCAACCCTGTTTCCATCAAAGAGTCACACAAGTGCATGTCGTTTTACTCACGACTTTTGTTCTAGTTAGCTGATTGAGGATTTTATAATAATAATATTAATAATAATAATAGATTTAATTTGTATAGCGCTTTTCATTAAAGCAAGAATCTCAAAGACGCTCTTAAAACAACAAAACATTTCAGTTAGTCTATTGACAGTTCTGGCTGGAGGAGTTAAGAGTCCTGGTTTCTAGAAATGGTTCCACACCCAGCTGTCGTAAGTGAGGCATTAGTAGGAGCCTGTATAGGATCTCAGTCTAGCCCTAGCCAGGCAAGGAGAGGTTGGTACTTAATGTTTACGGTAGAAGCCCTGCTCACAAGAGGGGGAGGTAGCATGGGCATTAGACTGAGGATTGCTCGCTATTCGGTAAGGCCCTTTGCGCCGAGGCTTAGTCCAGACCCTAGCTGTGACCAGTCTGTTGTCAAGACAGAGAAGCCTTTATCGGGCCTCTTGGGATCGGGGACAAGGAATAACTGACTGCTGTGATATAGGCAGGTCGGGGTTGAGTACCGATTCGCAAGAGGAGCGATATAGTAGCTTTAACAATGTGTGACTTTGAATAAGTGTCAAGTCACTGTTTCCCCTGTGCATTTTGCATGAAAGTTTCACCTCTCATCTTACTTCTCTTATCCTTTTACTAAATCATCTATGTCACCCTCTCTCACACATAGGCCTCTCTGCTGCTATGACGTTCTCCTGGAGGACAACAGAGAGCTGACCTTCAGATCCATCCCCTGTGAGGAGTCCAACTTCTGAGACAATAACAGACATACAGTACAATGTAGAGAGTCAGCAGTGGCCATATGATGGCTCTCTGGGTAAATGGAGTGAGGCGGTTGACCCAGGTAGCCTACATACTACTCACCCTCAGGTCCTTGTATTCAGTGGCTTAAGTCTTGTAAGAGTCCAGAGCATTGTAAATACATGCAAGTGTGATGATTTTAATGAATTATCTATTGTATTCATTTATTAATTCTTGAAAAGTACTATGACGATTGTGTCTCTATCACTGAGACCACTGTGTGGTATAATATCTGTGGGGAAACCACTACTACATACACAATATTTTATTAACGTAAATAGATTAGAAAGACATTGGAATGAGAGCCACCTCATTAGGTAATTCCAGTGCCTTTTGTGTCCCTTTGATACAGTGAGGGGAAAAGGTATTTGATCCCCTGCTGATTTTGTACGTTTGCCCACTGACAAAGACATGATCAGTCTATAAATCCAGAAAAACGCATGTCAAAAATGTTATAAATTGATTTGCATTTTAATGAGGGAAATAAGTATTTGACCCCTCTGCAAAACATGACTCAGTACTTGGTGGCAAAACCCTTGTTGGCAATCACAGAGGTCAGACGTTTCTTGTAGTTGGCCACCAGGTTTGCACACATCTCAGGAGGGATTTTGTCCCACTCCTCTTTGCAGATCTTCTCCAAGTCATTAAGGTTTTCGAGGCTGACGTTTGGCAACTCGAACCTTCATCTCCCTCCACAGATTTTCTATGGGATTAAGGTCTGGAGACTGGCTAGGCCACTCCAGGACCTTAATGTGCTTCTTCTTGAGCCACTCCTTTGTTGCCTTGGCCGTGTGTTTTGGGTCATTGTCATGCTGGAATACCCATCCACGACCCATTTTCAATGCCCTGGCTGAGGGAAGGAGGTTCTCACCCAAGATTTGACGGTACATGGCCCCGTCCATCGTCCCTTTGATGCGGTGAAGTTGTCCTGTCCCCTTAGCAGAAAAACACCCCCAAAGCATAATGTTTCCACCTCCATGTTTGACGGTGGGGATGGTGTTCTTGGGGTCATAGGCAGCATTCCTCCTCCTCCAAACACAGCGAGTTGAGTTGATGCCAAAGAGCTCCATTTTGGTCTCATCTGACCACAACACTTTCACCCAGTTCTCCTCTGAATCATTCAGATGTTCATTGGCAAACTTCAGACGGCCCTGTATATGTGCTTTCTTGAGCAGGGGGACCTTGCGGGCGCTGCAGGATTTCAGTCCTTCACGGCGTAGTGTGTTACCAATTGTTTTCTTGGTGACTATGGTCCCAGCTGCCTTGAGATCATTGACAAGATCCTCCCGTGTAGTTCTGGGCTGATTCCTCACCGTTCTCATGATCATTGCAACTCCACGAGGTGAGATCTTGCATGGAGCCACAGGCTGAGGGAGATTGACAGTTCTTTTGTGTTTCTTCCATTTGCGAATAATCGCACCAACTGTTGTCACCTTCTCACCAAGCTGCTTGGCGATGGTCTTGTAGCCCATTCCAGCCTTGTGTAGGTCTACAATCTTGTCCCTGACATCCTTGGAGAGCTCTTTGGTCTTGGCCATGGTGGAGAGTTTGGAATCTGATTGATTGATTGCTTCTGTGGACAGGTGTCTTTTATACAGGTAACAAACTGAGATTAGGAGCACTCCCTTTAAGAGTGTGCTCCTAATATCAGATCGTTACCTGTATAAAAGACACCTGGGAGCCAGAAATCTTTCTGATTGAGAGGGGGTCAAATACTTATTTCCCTCATTAAAATGCAAATCAATTTATAACATTTTTGACATACATTTTTCTGGAATTTTTTGTTGTTATTCTGTCTCTCACTGTTCAAATAAACCTACCATTACAATTATAGACTGATCATTTCTTTGTCAGTGGGCAAACGTACAAAATCAGCAGGGGATCAAATACTTTTTTCCCTCACTGTATCTTAACCCCTCTATGGAAAGATGAGACTCTCACAAACACGATGGTGTTCTCCGTTTTGCTCTATGACCCCCACAAGTGTCTTGGGACTCGTCTGTCAGTACATGTCAGTTGTTTTGCTCTAGGACCTCATAAGACTCGTCTGAAGGTCCCCCGGTACCAGTTGAAAAAAATGAAAGGAAGTATATATGTAGACTGTTTAGTGCCAAACATAAAGGTTAAATACATGTTTAAAATATATATATATATGTTTCCTTATTTTTCCTATATCTCTCAGATATAGGACAGACACTTAAGAACAAACTTCCTTTAGATTTTTTGGGGGGGACTATCTGTTGTTCCATGTAGTGAATCTGTTATTCAATGCTAAATGACAAATGTAATGTAATGTCATGCGTTTGTATGGGCTAATAGCAGTAAGGCCATACCCCCCCCCCCCCCCATATTGTCCACCAATATGGATTTTCAAAAGAAAGTTATATTAAATGAAGTGCCCTTTAATATACAGTAGATCACATGGAATATTCAATATATCCCTATGTGCACCCTCTGTGACTTGTAGGAAGATTTTAATCGACTTAACCCAAACATTTCTCCAAGTTTCCACCATCATTGTAAAGCCCCAGTTATTTTGTTGCTTTGACAAAGTGATTTCTGAAGATGTTTTTTCGTTTTAATGTGATTAATGATTCACTAAGTCTGTCCCTCACTTTAAGGTCAACACTGTTAAATGAACTGGCAGCTTCATTAAATAGTACCTGCAAAACACCAGTCTCAACACCAACAGTGAAGAGGCGACTCCGGAGATACTGACCTTCTAGGCAGTGTCTGTGTTCTTTTGCCCATCTTAATCTTTTATTTTTATTGGCCAGTCTGAGATATGGCTTTTTCTTTGCAACTCTGCCTAGAAGGTCAGCATCCCGGAGTCGCCTCTTCACTGTTGACGTTGAGACTGGTGTTTTGCGGGTACTATTTAATGAAGCTGCCAGTTGAGGACCTGTGAGGCGCCTGTTTCTCAAACTAGACACTAATGTATTTGTCCTCTTGCTCAGTTGTGCACCGGGGCCTCCACTCCTCTTTCTAATCTGGTTAGAGCCAGTTTGCGCTGTTCTGTGAAGGGAGTTGTACACAGCGTTGTACGAGTTTCTTTGCAATGTCTCGCATGGAATAGCCTTCATTTCTCAGAACAAGAATAGACTGACGAGTTTCAGAAGAAAGTTCTTTGTTTCTGGCCATTTTGAGCCTGTAATCGAACCCACAATTGCTGATGCTCCAAACTATAGTTTTTCTGTTGTTTCATAAATGACTACACAGCAAAGGCCTCAGTTTTGATTTCATTGATACTTAATTATGAAAGAAGATTTTAAGAGACAGATTACCACGTGTTCTGGCTTTGTTGGTGATGTCAGGCTGTTTGAGCCTGCCTGCTCATTTAGACTTGTGCTTCTTCATCTGTGCCACGTCCATCTGGGAAAAATGTACGTGTGTGTTTGTGTTGTCTGCCATCTTTCCAGCTCAAATTAGGTACATTTTACTCAAGGACAAATGGGACGCTAACAGAACACTGTGAGTAGTTGACAAGTTCCTCAGAGACGGTAAACAACCCTCTTGCATGCTGCGCTACTCCACAATAATAACCAGATATCCATATCAGACATCAGAGTGTAGAAATATATTTACCAGTGAGAGAAACTGTGATTGAAATCTTTCATCTGCCACATGTGCTGCCAATTGGTTCAGTGTCTCTGTGACTGAAACACTGGCATCAAAATCTTCAATGTCTTGGAGAAATAAAACACAAACCAACAGACGGCATTAGACACATTGTTGACTTGATTTGAAGGCATAATTCAAGGTGGGGTCATTGAAGCAAAATAACAGGCCATCATAAAAACACTGAGTGTCAGGCAGTATTCAATTAAATTGTTTAGCCATTGATGACAGTTTGATCAATCTAAAGCATTTTAGATTAGTTAAAAGGAACATAAGAGAGGATTTGAGAAGGGTGACATGGCTTACCCACGGTGAGGCCAGAGCTATAGTTGCCCATGGTGACACAGAAGAATGCCAACGTGATATGTAGTGACAAAATGAAAGAGAGAAAAGAGCTCCAGAAGCGAAGAATTTCAATCTAAAATGATGAGAGTGGAGTGAGTAGTCAGTAGATAGTCTTTGGAATTTCTCCAACTAAGCACATTAGTCAATCAGAACATAGACATGCACGCGTTCGAGACTATTTTGAAAAGCATCACAAATGTATTAGATACCAAATGACGAGAATAGTGAATAGTGACGAGAATAGTGCTGATGATGTCACTTCTTCCTCCCGCCCCTTCCTGGATGGGCAGGACCTCACTCTGGCCGACTGCAACTTGCTGCCGAAGCTGAACATTGTCAAGGTGGTGTGTCTGAAGTATCGTACTTTCTCCATCCCTAAGTCTCTCTCCAACCTGTGGCGGTACCTGGACGCTGCGTACGCCCGTGAGGAGTTCTCCTCTACCTGCCCCAACGACACAGAGATACACATCGCCTACTCAGCCGTGGCTAAAGCACTTAAGTAGGAGGAGAAGGGGATTCCATCAGTCACACACACCAGTGAATACACACCTACACACATACCTGTACAGACATCCTACACACCCACCTACGCACATACACACACACACACTAATGCGCTCAGACACACATAGTATTCAACAGCCTTGCTTTAGAACAGGAAATCAATATTACTGTAAGATCAAGTTGGAAATATTTAATTGGCCATTTAAGAGTTTGTGAAACTCTCTGAGACTTATAGTGTATGGTTCCCTTTTTGTCACATGCCATATCCACTCTTAATACCGTATATTCAGGCAGTTACACACAGTTAAGGTTCTATACACAGGCAGTAGGTTACATATGGTAGCATCCAACTAAAGGTGTTCAGTCACTATGATTAATTCTGCACTCCATACATTGCCACATTACCAGCTATTAGTTTCTATCTCTTGGCCAAGCCTTAAAGAAACTGCTGTTCTGTTGTGATTACACACAGACACACATACTTAGACCAGTTTAACTGCTACCTGCAGCTGAAAGAGAGAGGTCTGTTATAGGCATGTCTATAATTATACATTATTACAGATATATTATTACAAAGTTGATATATTGTTCAGGGCAAACCGCCTTTAACATGGTCAGTTTGAATCAGTTGTTTATATGTGCTAAATGGTCAGAAGTTAGGTTCAGGGAATAGGAAAGCAGGTCTTGGGCCAGTAGTAGTACATTGGGGCACACTATACGGAGTTGTTTCTCAGCACTGTACAGTTACCGACACAGGAAATTATTTCAACAGACCGCGGCTTCCCCTTTCTCCGCCTTGTAGCGCTGTGAAGGGTTCATCAAGTTTATATCCCCCCATTGTAAGTCTCTTTTGCTATTAGTAATTGACCTCCATTCCCCCATTCAAAGTGAAGGATATTTTTTATACTATAAAAAAAACTGCGAGAGGCTCATAATGCAGGACAGTTGAGTTATTCCAGATGAAGTAATGTGGCTATTGTTGCTGCTTTGTGGGAACTTTAGGTTATTAAAGAAGTACTTTACTCTGTATGGCCTTGAGGCACCAAGACGGTTCAGTCACGTTTCACTGTAAATCTGAGGGAAAACTACAGAATGTAATGCAGACATGCACACAGCTCTTCACATGACTAAACCATAAACGTCACATTCATGAAAAATAGAGATGCACATTGCATAGATAACTGAAATCTTCAGTGGTCCTCTGTAGCTCAGCTGGTAGAGCACGGCGCTTGTAACGCCAAGGTAGTGGGTTCGATCCCCGGGACTACCCATACACAAAAAAATGTATGCACGCATGACTGTAAGTCGCTTTGGATAAAAGCGTCTGCTAAATGGCTTATTATTATTATTATTATTATTAAATGCCAAGAGGATAATTAATGAATCATTCTTGATCAAGAAAATAAACTAGGTTGCCAACTGTAAGGGAACTGTTGTTTGAAATATAACATGATTGTAGACACACTATGAACAGAGTGCTGTGCACACTAGAATAAATGCAAAGCGTCAGCAGTTACCGTTTGTTACAGACAGGAAAAGAGACACCAATCCATTGACAAGACAGCAATCTTAGCTGGAGTTGTTGGGATTTCTGCTGTACACACTCACCTTGTTTGGCCAGTGTTCCTAACGTAATACAGCTCCATTGGTGGTAACTCTACACCATTCACCCCTGGTTCCATTGCAACCCAACATGAAGTGTGTTAGTGTGATGGGAGGTGGTATTGTCAGGGCTAAGTTTAGCACAAGACAGTGGAGCACTCAGATGTGCTCACCACCAATATCATTGGGGCAGACCCTGATGATGACACAACTACAGTTTGCAGGGACATAGATTTGGGAGCACTTAAAGGGACAGACTACAGGGCATCGAACACACACATGTATCCAATATCTTCCGAGGGGAGAGCAGGGTGCAGAGATCTATACAGCATGCCATGAAAACACAAAGTCAGTTCCACAATTTGAGTTTGAATTTGAATGGAAAAAGTCAAGCGGAAGCTGGATTGGATGTTGAATTAGAATATGAAGCGCTACCAGTTTATCATTAATTTTTTTATATAATGCACAGAGATGAGATATGTGAATCTGTCTACCAAAACGAGTAGAATTTTAATTAAATTATATTTAACCATATTTCCTGTCCTTTGTTATACCATTCTCATTCCAAGTGGAACTTACTCCACCCTTACAAAAACATTGCAGTTTTGAAACCGCAGTAAAAGTACAGTAACTGCAGTCGACTGTGGTAGATATACTGCACTGTAACTGCAGTTACATTACAAAATAACGTATTTCGGACGCAGTATTTTCAGCATTCTGCAGTTATACTGCACTCTGACAGCAATCTTTTTTCGTAAGAGCAACTCTTGAAGAGTAAGAGTGGGTGGTGGTCCTGCAGCCCTCCTGTTTACTACCTTTGTAGCAAACCTATATTTCTACACCCATTATTCCCCAGCTTCCTTCAGCTGTCAAACCTTTGTGACACTTCTGGGATGCAACCGGTCCCCTCCTTTTACGGTGACATTGTACAACCAATCACAGGAAAGGACATGGCTAGCCAACAGTACAGTGCCAACGGCTTGGCAGACTGACTGGTGATTGCCAAGGAATGCATTTACAGCACGCCCAAGAGAGCAGTTGTCTCTCCACCTCTCACACTTCAGTACATTTCCTTCGATCACTTTTTTCTATGTGTATTGTTGTGTCTGCATTTAGACAGGCAGCCCAATTCTGAACTTTTTTTCACTAATTGGTCTTTTGACCAATCAGATCAGCTCTGAGAGATCTGATGTGAAAAGATACTTTCATACTGTATGATTTTCAACAAGACTTGATTTACATAAAAAGCAGCTACATCATTGTATCCATTAATGAGAATCAGTCTATAGAATTTCCCAGCTATATTCTGATCACTGCTTTTTCCTTTAAGCTTCTATTGGAGTAAAGGGACACTCGTAATAAAGCCTCTATTTTACATTAACCTTGATATGAAATTGGTGACACAATGTGAAATGCTAACTAGATCTCCCCAGTCCTTATGAAACCTACGGTACAACACAGACAACTCCACACAAGGCATGTCCAGCCATTTATTCGCAATATCTTAAACAAAACAATGTACATAGGTTCAAATGAGCAGGACATGAAAATGGCATCAGTAGTTTTTACAGGTTGAGAATTAGACTTGAGCATCATATTCAACAGCCCTTGGGGAATCGTCTTGAAGACTGCTTCTACATTACAGCAAAAAAAATAAAGTTTCTCTAAGCACTGGGGGAAAACTAAAAGTGGTACTGGTAACTATGAAGAGGTAAAATCTTCATAATTTCATTTACACGATATGAGAGCTGTAACATGGTTGTGAAATCAAAAAACAATGTCCATAATAACTACAGTCTGGAAGACTAGAAACTGATAGCCTATTCTGTATATTTAAACACATCTTACGTAAACAGTCAAAAATAAACAGTGTAGCTGTATTTTTCTGATGGACTCCTGACGACAGGGAGAGTTCCATTGGGGGACCATCTCCAGGACAAAGACGCAACCCAAGGCCAGGGGGGGAAAGGGTGTGTAACACTGATCTGTGCCCTCGGTCCCTCTAGTTTGATCACCAGCGGCGGTAATTAGACCCTCTGTTGGGGGGTACATGTTGTCGCATCGTAGGCATGTTACGGTATTTGGACAGAATGCTCTGGCTTTTCCTGAACACTGGCCTTTGAGAGAAGGGACGTGGCACAAAGCCTCCCTACAAAGGGGGGAAAGATCATTTCAACCAAACCAGTCAGAAATGCACCGTTTTTCAGTGACCTACAGCTTCATCCACCTGATATTACTACCTACATTCTCAAAAGGCCAAGAGGCACACAAACACAGTCAGTGGGCTAAGACAAGCCCTACTGGCCACAAGTTATAAGAGGAGCTGTTCAAAAAGGGTACATACCATGAGTGGCTTCCTAGAGGGACCAGGCGGTTCAGGGCCTGGTCTTCTCTGGGGAGGAGGACCTGGTTTGAGATTTGGGCTGGTGGGACGGAAGCTGGGTCTCTGTGGGACATACGAGTAAAGGATGCCCATACATGGTGGAATGGAGTTGATCAAGAAATGTAATTGCTCACATATGGTGCCAAAATTATGGGAGGAAACATTCGACATATAGTATCCTTCGACAGCCTACTCATTTCAGTAAACATGTTACCACTCCCAAGACTAAAGCTATGAACACTCAGCTTTCAAAGAACCCAGTCAACATCAGGAAGTTCTCACCTGTGGTGGTCCTGGTTTCCTGAAGGGTCTTTCAGGTCTGTGGTTCTCCTGTGGCACGTTCGTTTGCCTAAAATAAGTAAAAAGTGAATTATCTGAATATTACCCTGAATTAAACTAGTTATTAGTGTGATGCCACATCCATTGTGTGATGCATGATCCCATGTAGCTCATAACCACTGGCCTCAAAGATTTAAACCAATAAATTGGTTATATTCCATGCAATACATTCATAACAATAGTCACTTCACATCAAATCTTTTACAGTGATACTCATTCATTTCTTATATTGGTGGATTACCTTTCCGCATATCTCCGGTCTCTTGGTGAAGGGGAAGGACTGGAGTCATGAATTTTAGAGAAGCGTTCATTCAGCGTAAGTTGTTCATCTGAATTGTAATAGCGCTCTGAAAAGTCAGGAGGTGAGAGTGAGTAAGAGAGGTCTCATTCTCATAATGAATTATCTTTAATTCACCAAGAGACGTCACATTCCTGTTTTGGGGCATCAAACAAACTGTTAGCCACAGACAAAATGAGACTAAACCAAATTAGGGGTCACTTGCCAGTTTTGTTCTTTGGTGTCCTACTTCTATCCCTTGGGGGGCTGTCCTTTGAGCTTGAGTTAGTCCCAGGTGCCTGCCACTGGGACACAACGACTAGGTCACGAGCCAGCCGTTTGTCTATAGAGGAAGAGCTGAAGCAGGACCAGCCAAGACAGAATGACAAGAGATGAGCATCCCATCAGTAGAGCCTGTGAGGCCAGGTTTGGTAAGCAGTGGAGCAGAACATTACTACTAGCATCATCTTTAGATGTTGCCCTGTAAGTGAAAATTCCATCAGTCTAAATAATGCCCTGAAAAATGTAAATGGTTTCATTCTGTAGAACAAAACATTTAATCTGAAAAAAATTGACAAGAACAGATGTTGGGGGACATGGAAAGAAACAGAAATGAGAGAGTTCTGTGGGGAAGGCTACATTCACATAATTACTCATGAAAATACATTAATTTGTCTACATGTGGAATAGAATTATGATAAAAGCTGATCATCACTCAGGTACTTACAAAGAGCATGTAATGTCCATGTTTTCGTAACGCTGTAGTCACTGAACCCTGAATCCACCTGACCTCCCAGAAGCTCTCCTCACAAATTCAGAGTGAAAAGTGACACGTATGAATGGAAAAGTGATGCCGAAATCTCTGAGGAACTGGTCTCTTGCGGTCCAGATTTTCACTTGAAGCTGGACTCGAAAGGCTGTCAATTGTCTTCTCCACTTCATTACTATTGAAATAATGATGACAAAGGGAGATGAGTAATCTGTTCAGCCAAACGGGCCATCTATCCATGATTTCCCTGGTGATCTTCAGTTCATCTTCATCCTTACTCGTCTTCGTTAAGTTCAGTCTCACCTTCCAAATCTCAACCCCTCTTCAATCGCTGGGCATTCAATTTCAAAGGGGGATGATGTTCTTGTAATCTTGCACTCCTGTCTGGTGCAAGTAGTGTGATGAATTCAGCTCGAGATGGTCGGTGTTCAACTTGTACATCTTCAGTCAAAACCCAGTAGTACACTCGAATAAACAAGCCATATACAGAGCAATTGTTGTAAAGCAGCTTGCATGGAATCCATTGTTTGCTTGTAAAACATCCAATTGTTGTACTTGTAAGGCCGCCATCCTCTGGAAACTTGCTGTGTAGAGATTAGATCCACTGTGTAGGGAACTGTAGTCCACTGCATATGTTCTGTATACACAGATTTGATGTATTCTTGCATGCAGAAAAAGTCCACTTCACTGGCCTAGCCAGATGAAGTTCAGTGTGCTGTTAATGTACAGAGGTGTGGTCCATTATCGCGTCAGTCCTCAGTTTGCTTCTTGAAGGTAGTCCCGTGTAGCTCAGTTGGTAGAGCATGGCGTTTGCAACGCCAGGGTTGTGGGTTCGATTCCCACAGGGGCCAGTATGAAAATGTATGCACTAACTAAGTCGCTCTGGATAAGAGCGTCTGCTAAAATGACTAAAAGGTCAATTGTACATTTGGGGACTAATTCATAATTTTTTAGATATTGAGTCAACTGCACGTCTGCATCTAAGAAATAAAAGTAGTATTGTATGATCTATGTATTACCACAGCGTAAGGTCCCATGTGGCTCAGTTGGTAGCGCATGGAACTTGGCCAGGGTTGTGGGTTTGATTCCCATGCGGGACCAGTATGAAAACGTGTGACAAGTTATGCACTCACTACTGTAAGTCACTGGATAGGAGTCTGCTAAATGACTCAAATGTTGTTGTTTTTTTACAGCAGCGTCCACTCCTCTCTCCGCTTTATGGCCTCAGAGCTTCTTCCTCCTGTTGTTGTCAATGTTAGTATCATGCATTATCCCCAAAGGTCCTCTGGACATTATCTTCATGGAAGCTGGTGCATATTCCAATGCAATTTTAATGTTATTGCTCAAACTGACAGATTGTGTAACCTGAACCAGTATGACAGCTTCCAGTTTCAGAGCCTTCTATATGGTGATCAACATCAATCTCCTCCTTTCCTTTGAGTCATGCATGTTGGTGTGCAACGACTGTGGCATTTCATCTGATATAAAGGGCATGTCCTCAGTTCTCTTGGTAGCAGTCCTCTTCATGGATGAACTGCTCTTCTGAACTTCTGTTGTGTCAGCGGGTTGTGTTGCGTCTGGCATTGTGAGCATGTTTCTTCAACTTTTCCACTTGGTCAGTGAAGAGCACCTCTCTAGAAGCTCCTCAGAGCTCCTCTAGCTTCAGACCCCAATAGCATTAGAGGGACAGGCCTCCCAACACAAATTGATTTTCTAGTATCTTTCAATGACATCGTTTTGAATAGGCACATATTAATTCAACGTTGAATGACTGGCGCCCAGAAAAAACCCTTGTGAATTATTTTGTTCACTGCCAGCCCACTTGAAAGTGCAACCCCAGAGGTCTTTGGATATTTGATTTCAAAACTTAACTGAAACAGGACATCACTGTAACTCCATTTCCTCCATCACAGGAATATGGCTGTAAGTTGGCATTCCCTTCATATTCAGATATCTTTGAAGCTTGACCTTCTAAACATCATCACGCCCCTGCTCCCAGAGTGAGAAGGAAGATACCGTACCTGTGTGTGCTCAAGGCTCGGTGAGAGTCCACCTGTTCCTTCTGTGACTCTGAGTCCCTGGAAGACTTGGTTGAATTGGCTTCTGGGTTGGGGGGTGACTGATGGGGCATCGGCCTCTTCCTCAGTGGGCCAGCCTTTGCTTGGAAACGCTCCCTCCGAAGAGCGAACTTGGATGGCGCATTTCCCCAGGACGTATGCGGCCCTTCCTCTTCATGGATCTCTGCTCCTTTGGGCCGAGGTGGAGGTGTTTTGAGCCTCATCACCGACTCCGCTCTCATTTTACGCCCCTTCAGCAAGCGACTCTTGTCCCTGAATGACAAGGGACGGCCGCCAAATCCCCTAGGGGCGTTGAAGTAATGTGGAATCTCTATCCGAGGGCGCTTTGGGTGACCATGCTCCAGATCAGGGCCTGCAGGAGGCATCCCACGCTCCTGGAACTTCCTCTTGTGTGGTGGTCCACTTGGCCTTTCCTGAGGGCTGTTCTGGTGGAAAGAGGACGACGACCGACCTCCTTTCCATGCGGGGGATTTGTGGGGAGGGTGGTGAGGGCTGCCTTCATGTGCCCACTCAGCGCTGTGGCGTCCGCTGCCCTCCCTCTCCCGTCCCACCACTGCATGCTGCTGCCTGGGATCTCGCTCAGCAGACCACCTGCACATCCATCACAAACAATACAAAAAATGATTACATTGGAAGATCCATTATCGTTTGAAGTGGGAAACGGAGGTTTAGCTTTTCTTTATGCTGCCCCTTCACCATTATGCCATGATACAGGTAGGAAAGTAAAACTTTCAGAGAGAATATACACTTTCCAGTGGCAGGTGACTAGTAGTGCATTAACATCAGATCACTGCATTTTACTGTTTATCAGCATTGTAACAATGAATTATAATTTTGACCTCTGACGCAGAGGACTACGCGAGTTTACACTTTTCCCCCTCCATTTATATTACCCAGCCAATACTGCATCTTCACTCCTGTACCTCTCTGGATAAGGACCTCTGCCATGAAACTCCCGTGGCTTTCTCTGGGGGGAGCCAGAGGGCCCACGTTCACCATTATGTGGTCGTGGAAAGGGCCCTGGCCCATTCCAGCGCTTCCCCCCACGACCTTGGCGCTCAAACTGCCTCTCCCTGGGGCTATGATGCGGCCGGGCACCCCAGCTCCTGTCCTCTTCGTGGGAAGGACTTGGGCGCTTGTGAGTTGGGCGCTTGTGAGGGCCCCTGAAGGAACTGTGGGGGGACTGTGAGGGTGGCGGCCTCCTGTCAGGAGGTTGGTTATGGTAATGGCGTGGTGAGGGGGATCTGTGACCCGAGTGGTGTCCCTGGGGCCCTTGGGCAGGAGTGTGCGGGGAGGACCTATGCTGTGCTGGGGGGGGACGGTTTGGCCTGGATGGGGATGGCCTCCTGTGGCCATGATGGGGCTCCGCTTGGGAGGGGTATGTTTTGAAGGAATCCTGGTTTTGGGACCTCCACTGATTGAAAGGTCGCTCCCTCCGTTCTCCCATCAGTGGGGGCCTCTGTTCTCCCATCAGTGGGGGCCTCTGTTCTCCCATCAGTGGGGGCCTTTTGGCAAAGTGAGCACGTCCTCTGCCTCTGGAATCTCTCCAGCTTGGAGGGACCTTTCCTGAGTGGCCCCGGAATCCTCTCTGACTCCTGGGGTGGGGGCTGTAATTCTCTTCATGTGGCATGTTGTTGTAGCCATCTGAGTAGGGCCTGTTGAATAACAAAACCAAGTCTTGAAGAAACTTGAACCATCCACACAATTCATGTTATTTATTTCATTAGCCATGTCTAGTTTACACGATTAAAATAGATTGACTAAAAAACACATTAATTTATATCGCCAATTGTTAGTTTTCCATTATTATAAACTGCCCCTTTTGTTGTAGTTTAACTCTGCAACAATCCTGCACATACCTGGGTTTGAACCGAGGAGGTCCGGGGTGAGGTCTGACCATTTTTGGCATACACTGAATAATCTGTAGACGAGAAATAACGTTTTTGCATTTACATAGGTGCCAGTGAGTTGTAAAAAGAAGCCTAACTAGCTAGCCGATTTAGCGAAACTATAGTTAGTTAGCCAATTTACACTAAGTATATTTAGCTACTAACGTTACACTCGGAGAAATAAGTACCGTTAACTAAACCATAACGACCTTTGCGGCCATTTTAAAAAGGCACATGTTAGCCAGTGGCTTGTTAGCTAGCTAACGTTAGCTAACCCGGGTTGTCAGAACAGTGCGAAAGCAGCTAGCTAATTAGCTAACGTTACAGCTGTAACGTTATGTAACAGTTGCTATAAAAACTAGTTAGCTATCTGCTAGGAATTGAGCTTTACGAGTGGGGGAAATGTGGAATAACGTTATGACTATACGCAGTGTGCCAAACAATTTCGACTATAGTAGGCCAGATTATGATATCAGTAACGTTATATTTTGATACCGTCTCGCCAAACACAAGTCCACCTAGCAGCTAGCTAAATAAACTAACGATAGTTGGCTCACGTTAATAAACAAACGTTGCGGTTTACAAGATTAAATAGCTAGCTGTTATTGTTAAAATAAAAATAATACATTGTTACACTAAACTGGCTAACGCTGTGTTGGCTAACGTTCGTTAAGTAACTAGCTACGTCTCTATAAAGTTGACTTGCTCTTGCATACCTACACGTAAAACGAGTTGTTTGTAATGGTACATTTTAATAGTAACTTACCTTTCAGTTTGTTTTCAACTAACGTTACTTTCAATTTTGTCATCGACACTAAACGCCTTCGTTCTTCTACAGTCACGTCCTACGAAACTGCTTTGCTAAAGTCAAGTGATGACGTAGTAATGCACATAAATGGTGGTGGCAGCGAGGGTGTAGCGCTGCAAACCTTATTATACCCAGTCAAACATTTGTAAAACTAACCCTCAGTGCCGCAAACACTCGAGGCACAGATAGAACAATGAGACAGATATTTCACCGGATGTATAAATGTGAAGCATCCGCTTGGTATTTACGCTAACTACCAAATATGGTAGTGAGAAGAAGCCCAGTGGCCGGTAGTGAGAGAAGATGGACCGATGAATTTTGGCCGACATTATACTAATTTTCTCATCGATGAAACATTTGATCTCAATACAGTTTTCAGTTCCCAAAACTAAAATATGTAACGAACAGAGTGGATTAGTCTCTGTAGAATTTACCCTTTGCCAAAGTTTTAAAAAATGGTGTTGTTTAGAGTGCAAAGGCGAATTGAGTTACTGCACACGCGCACTTCAGAGTAGGCGTTCCTTAACGGAAATATGCAAATATATGCTAGAACGCGCCAATAGGAACTCGGTAGCTCGTGCTTGGCTCTGCCAATTTCCTTGCTTGTTCTGCCCACTATGACTCGTTCGTTCACGTTTGAAACGATGGGCTTTGGTTTATCTTGGTTTAGTTATAAAAATCTTTGCATAAACTGTCACTCGGAAACCTTTTTCTTCTATGGTGTTATGGCAGGCCGCAAATAAGCGTTAGAGGTGCATGCGGCCACCTACTGTACGGGTGGTAAACTATAGAAAAAATATCCATTGTAGGAAAAAAGGTGGAAAAACCTACATCATACAAAATAAAAAAATTCACATATTTAAAAAAAAAAAAACACATCCCACATCTTCAGTCACATTCAAATTCAAGTCACATCCCTACACAGGCTCAGGGGCCTGTGAGAGGGAACATCATTTGACAAGATTTTTTGCAATGCCTCGGCTGCAAACTCACTAAGCCCCAAAAAGCGTTCTGCTGCATTCACAATAATTCAAATGTTCTCTGATTTCTTCTTTGTTTGTGCTGTGCAGTTTATGGGGCGGCAGGTAGCTTAGTGGTTAAGAGCGTTGTGCCAGTAACCGAAAGGTCGCTGGTTCTAATCCCCGAGCCGACTAGGTGAAAAATCTGTCGATGTGCCCTTGAGCAAGGCACTTAACCCTAATTGCTCCTGTAAGTCGCTCTGGATAAGAGCGTCTGCTAAAATGACATTAAAAAAAAAAAAAAAAAAAAAAATGACCATTGCAATAAATGCTACAAAGTCCACAATGTAATATATCAGGATCCCTTGATTGCCGAGAAACATTCACTGGTGCAGTCTCAATTACTATTGTGTCTTCAACGCCACTCGCTCCTTCCACTCTTCTCACAGTCTCCAGATAGGAGACACGCTGGACAGCCCTGATTCTCACCACCTCTGTCTCCTTCCCCCTAACAGGGCAATCCGGGGACTCGGGCTCATGTTCGCCACCACAGTTGCAGCATATAACCTCAGCTGGCATACAATATTCGCCCCGTCTGCTTACACTTGATACATGCCCAAATCTTTTGCATTTATAACACTGGAGGGGCTTGTGCACAAAAGCCTAGTTTTACATGAGAAGGGAGAGACTCATCAAAAAACAATAATATGGACAAAGTGGCTTCCCTTACACCATCCACCATACAGGTCAGTCTATGTGCACCAATCAAATCAAATCAAATCAAATTTGATTTGTCATATGCACCGAATACAACAGGTGGGATCTTACCGTGAAATGCTTACTTACAAGTCCTTAACCAACAATGCAGTTCAAGAAATAGAGTTAAGAAAATATTTACTAAATAAGCTAAATACATTTAAAAAAAGAAAAAGTAACACAATAAAATTACATAACAATAATGAGGCTATAGACAGGGGGTACAGGCTAGTCGAGGTCATTTGTACATGTAGGTAGGGGTAAAGTGACTATGCATAGATAATACACAGCGGGTAGCAGCAGTGTAAATAGTCCGGGTGGCCATTTGATTAATTGTTCAGCAGTCTTATGGCTTGGGGGTAGAAGCTATTAAGGAGCTTTTGGACCTAGACTTGGCACTCCGGTACCGCTTGCCGTGCAGTAGCAGAGAGAACAGTCTCTATTACTTGGGTGACTGGAGTCTTTGACAATTTAGGGCTTATAAGGCCTTCCTCTGACACCGCCTAGTATGGAGGTCCTGGATGGCAGGAAGCTTGGCCACAGTGATGAATTGGGCCGTGCACACTACCCTCTGTAGTGCCTTACGGTCGGACGCTGAGCAGTTGCCATACCAGGCCGTGATGCAACCGGTCAGGATGCTCTCGTTGGTGCAGCTGTATAACTTTTTGAGGATCTGGGGACCCATGCCAAATCTTTTCAGTCTCCTGAGGGGGAAAAGGTGTTGTCGTGCCCTCTTCACAACTGTCTTGGTGTGTTTGGACCATGATAGTGACTTCATCCACTTCATGAGCAACCCCAGAAATAACCCCCTTGACAGGTGCCCTGTTTCGGAAATCCATACACAAAACATTCCATTCAAAAATATTTTTGAGGTGCAAAGCTTGCTTCTTGTGTGCCGCGGACATACGAAAAGTCAGAATAAGTCCAGCTCTTGTGACTCTCACCGACGCCACCTCACCCAACGCCTCCACGATACTCCTCATGACTTCAAACGGATCCCCCAGGTAACATTGATCCAAAACCCTCACTCCGACTATAAACGAATCTAGGGATTTCTTAGTTTCCATCACAACTTTACTTATTTTGTTTCCTTTATTTTTCATGACTGTTTCCCACCCGTTCTCACTCTCGGTACTCTCATCTTCACCTGATCCACCATCAGTTTCGAACAGAACATCAGTTTTTCGCCATCTTACCCTCTAGAGCTCCTTACCTTGCTCCTCAACCTGGTCTCAGAGAATTTACATTTACTATATTACGTCTAGTCTATGAGACCAGGCTGTGCTCCTCTAGCTTGTTCCCACAACAACTATTCCTTCCAATATCAGGAAAGATTTTAATTCAGAAACCAAAGCAGTAGCTGCCTTTTGTGTGATGACAGACTTGTGTGATGACAGTGCAAGAGATCAGACTAAATACCAAACCAGACAAAATGTAAAGTGTTTAAAAAGGTAGAGCCTACTCCACATGAGCAATATGGCTACACCTTTCCACTTTCATAAATGGAATTAAAAGGGCAACACCTAAAGTGCTATAACCAATAGGATGAGAAAAAGACAAACAGTTGGTAGACACATCAGGTTGTTTTCTAACAATTGACGAAAAATAGATAGTAGGCTGAAATTTGGGTTGGTACACTGACTTTGGACCATATTGTTGCAGTGCAAACGGAATTAGTTATTATCAAATGATTGTACAGGACATAAAAGCATTAAGGCATTGGTATTTAACCACTGGGCACACACTGGCTAGTCTTGTTTTGCACATTTCATATTCAGATTTTTATCAGATATAAATAGTAACATTTTTAAGTGGCATTGTGGCCTACCGTAGGCCTTCAGATACAACAATACCCACAACACATTATTGTTTGAAGGTTTATTAATAGTACTGATATGTATAATCTTATGCTCATGCTAATGACCCATGCACAATGTCTACAATAGTCACATTTTTAAATGAACTGCAATGCTGCTTTAGTTAGAGATACGACAGACACAGTAGGTTTGAACTGTTAATAACATTTTTTCTCTTTAAAACTGATTTTCTACATCCCTGTTGCTTAGTCTTCAAGGAAAAATCTTGCCTTCTTTTGGTGCATTATTTCTCAAAACACAATACAGTCAAAGTGTAACCAGTGACTGACCGCTCACATCTGTGCATATACACACCAAAATTACTTAATTTTGAAAACACAGCAACTGGATTCCATCTTGCAAGTCATCTAACATTCAAATGATACCAGCTCACTGGTTTCAGACTTTTGAGGGATCAGAAACAGCTCAGTACATTGTTGATCCAGGAGGAAAGAGAGAACAAAACCAGCAATGCATTGGTTGGTGACAATCTGGATTATAATGAGGAATGTTACTGTACATGTTCTTTATGTTGACTTTTGAGTTGCAGTAGGGCTGGGTTCAGGTATTATGGCACACATGCTACAATCCCAATCGCACAGCAGGTTGGATACATACATTGTGACAACAAGCTTGAGTCTCTTGGGAGTTAATCATGTCCAGGGAGATACAAGCTAGCTTGAGGCATCCACAGCCAGAAAACTGGACTTTTCCGTGGAACAATCTAAGTGAAAGATCAGTGCATACTAAACTACATTGGGTGGAAACAGAGCTATATTAATCTTTCAATCATTAAAGGAACAATACTTCCGTCTTTAGAGGAACAATACTGCAATAGCAAAGGCAAATTACTGATATGATACTCTACATGGGTATGTGGGGTCTTTCACCATAACAATTATTTAAAGAGAGGAGAGGCTATCACCAGTCTGTGTTTCTACCCAACTACAGAATAAGAGCTTTTGTTTTAAAATTAGATTTAACTATCTTAGCTAACTGCTTCATATCATAACAGGTAGTCAAAAGTAAATTGCTTCGTGGGCACTTTGTTTCATTGAGACAGTCCTACACACACGTTTCAGACACCATACTAACAACTGCTCTATGCAATACATGACATGACACAGATAGTTATAACTATCATCAGGGTATTATCTGACAAGTACAGTAAATCTATGAATATTATTGTCACTTATGTTCCGTGGTACAAGGCTATAAAGACAGATGTATGTAGGAGGTTGAAGGTTAATGGACATTCAAGGTTGGAGACCAACAAGGAGGAACAAAAACTACATTCAGAGTGATTTCTCTCTCATCTCAAGAGGTGCAGAGACTTCCATCCTCAATAACATCAGACAACACAGATGATTTCCCTCTGCTCTCTCCATCTTGTCTTGCCAGTCTAGGGCTCTGAAAATAAAAAGGTCATCATAAGATTCTGTGTGTTTGAGAGAAGCTAGTGTGGGCGAGGTACTGTATGTGACAACTTTAGTGTGTGATTTAAAGTGTGCAAACATGCACATAGATTCACATTCTCATCCTCACATGCATGTTTTAGTACCGACTACTGGATGTTGAGCTTGTGTGAGGGTGGAGGATGAGTTTGGATGAGCTTGGAATCGGCACCGGGGCTGCAGAGCCCCCCGATCAGGTTCTTGTTGCAGTCTCCTAGGTTTCCCATGGGGGACAGTTTGGGGTAGGCCACATGGCCTGTCAGGTCCAGCAGATCCTCCAGGGCTCGGGCATTACTCATGCCGTTGTGCTGGACCTCATTGACTGGGGAGTACTCTGGGATGGAGACTAGCTCCTCCTTGGAAATTGGGCTGAGAGAGGGAGCAAGTTTGTGAATTTCATAATGGTTATTCCCTCGATGGTATACTACTATGGGGCATGCTGCCCGTGAGTAATCAAGGGCGGATATGAGGTGAATAATTTATTATGCAAAGTGTTAAATGTGAAGCCATTTTCATTATCAATATTCCTCAGGGTATGACAAAGTGCTGTGGTAAAGCTCCAAATAGGATTGTGTTGATACAAAACCCTTAATATGCTGTGAGGGTAACACACATAGGTTGCTGGCATGGTGGGCAATGCATATGCACATTTTCATACTAACCAGTATCTGTTGCATTTATTGGTTTAATCAGTTATACGTACATCATCATGTCTTCCTGTAGATAGACATGGCCTTGCTCTGATGGCTTACCTGACCTCCATGTACTGCACTTCGTCATACGCCCCGCTGCTCTTCACAACCAGAGGCTCCAGGTTGATGAGTGGAGGTGGGGGTCGACCCACCGGTAGGGACGCCACGGACGGTTTCTTGGGCTGCACCCCTTGTCCGATTTTCTGTGTGGTCAACTTCACGTTTACTTGGGTACTCTCCTGGATTTTGAGCTGAGCAGTGGCTTGGCTGCTCACCTGGGTTTCCTCCGGTTTCTTCACCTGTACATTCGCTTGGACACTCTCCTGTTTGCCCGCTTGGGGAGCATCGTGTCTCTTTGTATTATCCAGACGACTCATTTGGACAGTGGTCTTTGCATTCACCCGTCCCTTCACAAAGACACTCTCTTGCTTGAGAACCTGGGCTGCACCCTGTCCATTCACTTGGGCAGTCTGTTTATTTAGTTGTTTAGCGTCCTGTCCCTTTTGCAGATCATTCTTCAGTGGGGTAACCTGGTCAGTGGCTTGTCCCTTCACCAGGGCACTGTCCTGCTTGTTGACATGGACAGTGACCTGTCCATTAACCTGAGACTCAACCTTTGGGTTTTCTTGCACATTCACCTGAGCATTAGTTTCAATCTTCATGTTTGAGTTCATTTGCATTTCCCCTGTAGAGAACAAAATGATCACATTGCACAGGACTATTCCCTGAGAAAGAGCACTACAAGACCTAACCAAGGACGGCTTAAAGATATGCTAATTATACACAAATCCCATGCCTTCCCTGTCAGAATGAGTTAAATCCCTGGCCACTGTTCTCCTTGAAATTAGTCCATTCCTTCACCTGTATGCACCACCGTGGCAACATATCATAGATGACTACCTTTGTGAGCCAGAGGGGTTTCCAAGATCAAGTAGACGGACAGATTTGCTACGGCCCTCTGTTCTACATCAGCTAATCAAATAAAAAAAGAAATACAGATTGGTCTTTCTCTTCAATTTCATTAAATTGTCTAAATACTGTATGTCCAACCTTTCTAGTGAAAAATAATAAAGGATGAAGTTACATGCTGAGGGCTGCATTGTGGCAGGAACAGAGGAGTTATAAATATCCAAAGACCTTGAACATAATCTAGGATGCAGAGCGAATCCGATCCTCTCCTGAGGACAGGTATTGGAAAAACACTGCTAAATCACAGACATGCAGGAGTCTCCTATATTGATGGAAAAGTACTGGGGTCTCTCACCCACCATGACCAGGCTACCCACTGCTGCCACTGGGTGGGACTCCTATACAACATGCTTTAGTAAGCATTTATACATTCATAAGGGGTCTTTCCTGCTGGGGTGAACAGGCAGGCAGAGTATCAGTGGGTGAGTGGAATGGATCACCTACCTGGTGGTGAGACAGGCTGAGGCAGAGTATCCACATGCCCTTCCTCATTCTGCTTCAATATGTAACACAGATGGAGGCAACATTTATTATTCCATTATTAAGAAGAAAATTGTGTATAATATTGTGTGATTAAGACCTGTAGTAATCAGGACGCATAAACCAATGTATCAACAATGATACAATTTAATCATGATAATGAGCACAACATAGATATCAAAACAAAAGCTCTTGGGGGGCAGCTGCAAAGCACATACTGTATTAGTATGCAAAACCTTACAAGATCACACAACATCACATGGATAATACAGCAGTCAGCAGGTCCCTTGGTTGAAGCCGTGCAGAGCTATGAGAACGGCAGGCATCTCTACAGTACCTTCATCTCTTCCTGGTTCTCATCACACTTCCTGGTTCTCTTCATTATCTCCTCAATTCTCTGTGGGGATAGCATCAACATTTGATTAAGGACTGGTACAGACTTTATATTTGTATTTGTATTTATTATGGATCCCCATTAGCTACTCTTCCTGGGGTCCAGCAAAATTAAGGCAGTTCATACAATTTTAAAAACATTACAATACATTCACAGATTTCACAACACACTGTGTGCCCTCAGGCCCCTACTCCACCACTACCACATATCTACAGTACAAAAATCCATGTGTACTTGTGTGTAAGTGCGTATGTTATCGTGTGTGTGTGTATGCATGTGTCTGCGCTTATGTTTGTGTTGCTTCACAGTCCCCGCTGTTCCATAAGGTGTTTTTTTTAATCTGTTTTTTAAATCTAATTTTACTACTTGCATCAGTTACTTGATGTGGAATAGAGTTACATGTAGTCATGGCTCTATGTAGTACTGTGCGCCTCCCATAATCTGTTCTGGACTTAGGGACTGTGAAGAGACCTCTGGTGACATGTCTTGTGGGGTATGCATGGGTGACCATGCTGTGCGCCAGTAGCTCAAACAGACAGCTCAGTGCACCCAACATGTCAAAACCTCTCATATACACAAGTAGTGATGAAGTCAATCTCTCCTCCACTTTGAGCCAGGAGAGATCGACATGCATATTATTAATATTAGCTCTCTGTGTATATCCAAGGGCCAGCCGTGCTGCCCTGTTCTGAGCCAATTGCAAATGTTCCTTTTTTGTGGCACCTGACCACACGACTGAACAGTAGTCCAGGTGTGACTTTGATGACGTGTACTGAGCGCTGCAGACTGGGTTTCAGAGATGCTGATTTATTCAATAATAAGCATTGATTTCGGAGTCATAAAAACCTTCTTCCGCAGCTGTCTCTCCTCTTCTTGTTGTAGCTTCAGTATCTCTCTCTCCTGACGCTGACGCTCTGCATCCTTCTGTGCCTGAAACTCGGCCTCCTCCTTCTGTATTGAGGAAGATAAAGGATTTATGCTTGGAAGTGGAACAGTACTGTGCATACACACCATGTTAAACATGCACCGTAGATGTCACAACATAGTGACCCCACCTCTCTGTCCATCTGGACCTGTAGCTCCTTCTCCCGGACCTCCCTCTGCTGTTTCTCCTCTTCCTCTCTCGTCCTGCGGAGGTCCTCCTGTCTGCTCCTCTCCTCCTCAGCCCGTTGAGTCTCCAACTCCTGCCGTGCCCGCTCCTCTGCCTGTCTCCTCCTCAGCTGCTCCGCCTTCAGACTGAGTGCCACAGAGACAGACATGGTGACTTGCAGTATATGCCATCAGTCACATACACGGACAAGCAGACACACCATCTGTCTGTCATATACAGGTAAACAAAGAGATACACGGTGACACTAACCACTGAGACACACAGTCTCCTTACCGCTCATCCTCCTCCTGCTCACGACGTTGTTTCTCCTCCAACTCCTTCTGCACCCTGGCCAGACGCCTACGCTCCGCTAGCAGTCTAGATGCTTCCTCTGCGCTTGTCGTCCCGGCAACTCCTTTCCCTGTTGGTGTCACTGGCGATGGCTCTGTCACAAAGATAAAGGCAGACATCAGTGTGCATTGAAACTCGTGCCCTTTTGACAATGCACTGATAGATGTACTTAAATATTGATATACACAAAAAAGATTGGTAAAGAGTTTCACCTGTGCTCTTATCTGCAATCAGGTCGCTGCAGGCGGACTTTGGCATCTTCTTGTCTGGAGTGTCTATTTTGAAGGCTTTCCTATCAGCAGTCTCAGCCATAGGACTCTTCTTGTCTGGAGAGTCCTTCCTTTCAGAAATCTCACCTTTTAAGTTCTTATTGGGGGTCTCAGTTTTGGGGAACCTCTTTTCTGGGGTCTCCATGTTGGACAGTTTTTTTTCAGGGGTGTCGGCTTGAGAAGACTTCTCAGGGCTCTGGATATCAGACATATTTTTCTCTGGTTTGGAGACATTTCTGTCACTGATGTTGTTGTGACCTTTGGCTTCTTCAACTTGTCCGACCTCCTCCTTGTTGCTGTCGGTAACCGGGGTGGTGGGTCTGTGCCTGTTGGGAGAGGAGTGGTACTGGCGCACAGTGCAGGGAGACTGGGTACAGCTCTTAGGCAGCAACCTACAACCAGAATATCATAACCCTCTGTCATAGTAACTAGGACAGACCACATGGATTCAGCAGCAGGACAGCGAGTCTTACTTGGGGTTGGTGGGGGAGGCTGAGCCTCTGGTGAACATGGCTGGGGATTCTGCTCTTCTCACAGGGGAGCCTGTCGCTGGGGAGCCAGTCCTTCTCTCTCTGCGCAACCTCTCCTTCTGAAAACACACCAGAGAGAATGCCATTGTGTGGGCATGCGTGTGTAATCCTGCCAACATGGCCCTACCAACTCAGTGCTAGCAAGGTTCTGCACTGGTTTCTGTCTATTCAACAACCAAGTGGGTAGGTAAAACAAGCCTGACCTTGGGGGTTTGAGGGGTGGAGATATACCCTCCTGCTGACTCCTCTGGAGAGCCCTGGAGCCTCCGTCGATTAGCCCGGCTTGGCGAGCCCTGATAGGGTGACCTGTGGGGGCTGCAGGGAGCTGCACAACGACAGACATCAGACACTCAGAGGTCAAAGGTCAAATTAATGATCAAGTTAAGATGTATTGTGGTCAGAGGAGATACAATGATGGTAATTCCATATTTTCCGATCAATACCCACAGTATAGGTATGGAGGAAATTAACTATACTATCAATTGTTTTAATGAATCATTCAAACTATTTTGTCTTTTCACATGGTCATCTGTCGCAAGTTAGAGTGATGTTCGCACAATCCCCCCAAATACATCACGAATACTAAATAGAGTTAATAAAGTTTATGCTGAAGCAACATTACTACTGCCATATTTACAGTGGTGTAGTGGAGGGTAAACACAGTTTACTCCCCTTTTTTTATTTCATACGAGCGTTGTAGAAAAATTCATTGAAAGTAATAAGGAGTGTTACTTTACTCACTGCCAACGGCGATCTGTGTTCATCCACCTATTTTCTTTACCACTACATCACTGCATATTATGTAAGGCATGCACTGTTAAGCAACACTTTTGTGAAGCATCTTAGCATGTAGGTATTTTTTCTCCTTGTCACACCAAAACATACACACACACAAACACTGTGGACAGCAGTCACACACATACTGAATACACACATTTAAAACACATCTACACCCTCAGATACATACATTCACAAAAGCCAGACCTAGACAGAAGTAGAAACGCTGCCATGCTTTCCCGAGTTTCTATATCACTAATGCTGCACGATGTCACCGGTGTGTTACCTGTCTGGAAACATTTACTGCCTATGTGCAAAAACTTGCCAGTCCAGATGTTTTGTCTAGCTGTTACCTGTGCATCGGTGGCAGGGCAGATGGAGGTCTGCTGCACCTGGCCATAGAGGAGTGAGTGTGGGTAAGAAGGCGGTGGACCGTCAGGCTCTCCACAGAGTTCAGGTGACAGCACTGGGCTGATGGAGGGGTCAGGGGTCAATGGAGGAGTTGGGAGGAGGGGACGGAGATGAGGATGACGAACAGAACAAAACGCCATGAGGGACATGAGACGGAGAAATTAAGGTGCTAGAAGCAGAAGGAGAGGAGGAACAAGACTAAGAATGCTTGTTCTAGACTAGTGAGTACTGTACACCCGGAGAATGGAAAGGATGTAGGATGGGTCTGCCTCAAAAATGTGTGATTGTCATTTGTAATGACACCAACAAGAGTAGCTATTAGCAGTGAGGGTGAGAGTAGCAGTTGCAGAAGTCATAGTGTTCAGGGTAGTAGTAGTAGCCGTGATAGTAGTAGTAGTAGTAGTAGTAGTAGTAGTAGTAGTAGTAGTAGTAGTGGTGATAGTAGTAGTAGTGGTGATAGTAGTAGAAGGAGTAGTACTAATGGTGATAGTAGTAGAAGGAGTACTAGTAGTAGTAGTAGTAGTAGCTGTGATAATAGTAGTAGTAGTAGTAGTAGTAGTAGTAGTAGTAGTAGAAGCCGTGATAGTAGTAGTAGTAGTAGTAGTAGTAGTAGTAGCCGTGATAGTAGTAGTAGTAGTAGTAGTGGTGATAGTAGTAGAAGGAGTAGTACTAATGGTGATAGTAGTAGAAGGAGTACTAGTAGTAGTAGTAGTAGTAGTAGTAGTAGTAGTGATAGTAGTAGTACTAGTGGTGATAGTAGTAGTAGTAGTAGTAGTAGTAGTGGTGATAGTAGTAGAAGGAGTAGTACTAATGGTGATAGTAGTAGAACTAGTAGTAGTAGTAGTAGTAGTGATAGTAGTAGTACTAGTGGTGATAGTAGTAGTAGTACTAGTGGTGATAGTAGTAGTAGTACTAGTAGTAGTAGTAGTAGTAGTAGTAGTAGTAGTACTAGTGGTGATAGTAGTAGAAGGAGTACTAGTAGTAGTAGTACTAGTAGTAGTAGTGATAGTGGTAGAAGTAGTAGTACTAGTGGTGATAGTAGTAGAATAAATACTAGTAGTACTTCTATGTAAAACTGGGGGACTACTTGTTCCTGTGCATGTTGAATGGCAAATACTGCTCATCACTTCATTATTATTGGGTTATGTTTCCAAATACTCATGGGGATAGGATGGGCTCTCTGAAATACAAAATATATAACACTGAGTATTGGAATGGGTGATATACAGATTGCTAAAATGCAGAAAGAAACACATTGCGAATGTCAAACCTCAACCAATGTGTTGTGACTGAGTGACATCATTTCAATGAGGAGCGAGAGGAGGTTTCAAACAATGAAAAGGACGAAGTGAAGTGGTGTACATGTGCCGTGTTCCTTGGTTATTTGTGTACTGTAGATCTCTAGTGCCTGTCCTTTCCTAATGGATCTCTCGTTCACTTTCTTCTCACTGTATCCTAAAACCCTACATCTCTATTGTTATCCCTTGCTCTCTCTTTTGCTCGACCCGGAACAACTTGCAAGTGCCAAAAGACAACTAAGACATCAAAATACCCAAGCTGAGCACAAACACCAACACATACCCTCACACATACCGTACACATACACACGTTAAAGAAATACATTGATAAAAGCAGCAATTATACAACATCAAAGTGTACTTTGTACATTAGTAATTGTTCCAGGCACACATTGACTCTTCACACACATCCTCATGCTTCCGCACACTTTCTGATTCAGCTGTTGCACATGCATTCTGGGAAATATACATAAAACCTTTGAGTTGGCATGACATTTCCCTCAAGCCAAACAGCCAATGAGAGCAGTGGTCACTGTGGGGTGAGAGCAGGATGGGGGACAGGGGATTGGTGGATCGAACGGGAGGGGTTCATAACATTACCGGATTCGCTGGCAGCAGGAAAGGGGGCGGCGAGTTCATGGGGAAAGGTGGAGGCGGGGAGAGGGGCATTCTCACAGTCACCTATAGGCAGCGGGCGGAGCAGAGCAGAGCAGAGAGAGCACAGCATTATGACCAGAGCTGCCACTCATGGCTTTACCTGATGACCCCCTGATACACCTCTGCAGCCAGCAGGGCGCTCCTGTAGACAACGGTCTGGGGAGGTAAACCCATGCAGCAAGGCTGGAGGCAATGAGCAGGCTCTCTCTCACATACACACCTTTATCCTCTATATACATGTATCCCTCTATGACCCAATCCAAATCACACGTACAAACACATTCATAAAAACAGCATCTACGTTTTGAACATTATGTTTTTGTATCTCAGTCCTCCATCATAATCCAAAAAGAACACCAAACTCCCAGTGCCCCATCGAAATGAAATCATCAATACCTGACTCAGGATATGAGCCCTCAATAATGCCCTAAACCAGCAGCAACTATGTTGTCAATTCTAAAACGGTCTGCTTTACTCCCCTCAGAGTTGACTGCACTGCTCAAAAAAATAAACGGAACACTTAAACAACACAATGTAACTCCAAGTCAATCACACTTCTGTGAAATCAAACTGTCCACTTAGGAAGCAACACTGATTGACAATACATTTCACATGCTGTTGTGCAAATGGAATAGACAACAGGTGGAAATTATAGGCAATTAGCAAGACACCCCCAATAAAGGACTGGTTTTGCAGGTGGTGACCACAGACCACTTCTCAGTTCCTATGCTTCCTGGCTGATGTTTTGGTCACTTTTGAATGATGGCGGTGCTTTAACTCTAGTGGTAGCATGAGACGGAGTCTACAACCCACACAAGTGGCTCAGGTAGTGCAGCTCATCCAGGATGGCACATCAATGCGAGCTGTGGCAAGAAGGTTTGCTGTGTCTGTCAGCGTAGTGTCCAGAGCATGGAGGCGCTACCAGGAGACAGGCCAGTACATCAGGAGATGTGGAGGAGGCCGTAGGAGGGCAACAACCCAGCAGCAGGACTGCTACCTCCGCCTTTGTGCAAGGAGGAGCACTGCCAGAGCCCTGCAAAATGACCTCCAGCAGGCCACAAATGTGCATGTGTCTGCTCAAACGGTCAGAAACAGACTCCATGAGGGTGGTATGAGGGCCCGACGTCCCCAGGTGGGGGTTGTGCTTACAGCCCAACACCGTGCAGGACATTTGGCATTTGCCAGAGAACACCAAGATTGGCAAATTCGCCACTGGCGCCCTGTGTTCTTCACAGATGAAAGCAGGTTCACACTGAGCACATGTGACAGACGTGACAGAGTCTGGAGACGCCGTGGAGAACGTTCTGCTGCCTGCAACATCCTCCAGCATGACCAGTTTGGCGGTGGGTCAGTCATGGTGTGGGGTGGCATTTCTTTGGGGGGCCGCACAGCCCTCCATGTGCTCGCCAGAGGTAGCCTGACTGCCATTAGGTACCGAGATGAGATCCTCAGACCCCTTGTGAGACCATATGCTGGTGCGGTTGGCCCTGGGTTCCTCCTAATGCAAGACAATGCTAGACCTCATGTGGCTGGAGTGTGTCAGCAGTTCCTGCAAGAGGAAGGCATTGATGCTATGGACTGGCCCGCCCGTTCCCCAGACCTGAATCCAATTGAGCACATCTGGGACATCATGTCTCGCTCCATCCACCAACGCCACGTTGCACCACAGACTGTCCAGGAGTTGGCGGATGCTTTAGTTCAGGTCTGGGAGGAGATCCCTCAGGAGACCATCCGCCACCTCATCAGGAGCATGCCCAGGCGTTGTAGGGAGGTCATACAGGCACGTGGAGGCCACACACACTACTGAGCCTCATTTTGACTTGTTTTAAGGACATTACATCAAAGTTGGATCAGCCTGTAGTGTGGTTTTCCACTTTCATTTTGAGGGTGACTCCAAATCCAGACCTCCATGGGTTGATACATTTGATTTCCATTGATAATTGTTGTGTGATTTTGTTGTCAGCACATTCAACTATGTAAAGAAAAAAGTATTTAATAAGATTATTTCATTCATTCAGATCTAGGATGTGTTATTTTAGTGTTCCCTTTATTTTTTTGAGCAGTGTATTTCCATGGTTTACGACAGGTCTGGGACAGGCTGGCACAGAGACATCACAGTCTGACCTTGAGTCTAGAAGGGTGGAGGACAGTCATCAGCTACCAGCAGCTTCCAGAACAACACCTATTGTGTGCTAGTTAATCTGATGGACTGCTTGTGTGCTTGTATCTGATAGAGAGGAGCACCCCACATGTTTATCCTAGAACTTTAAAAGCCACAAAGGGACATGCCAAATCGAATTAGCCTAGAACATTTAGTGCGGTCCCTCCCTCCCTCTCACCATTTCTCCTTCCAGTCACTGATTCATCATTCACACCTCATTGTCCTCATCTCCATCTCCCTGTTGTGGACTCACCCTGTGCTCCTCCAGCTCCACCCCATGTCCAGCGTTTGGGCCTCTGCTCCAGCTGCAGGCTGCGTTCCAGGGAACGTTTCATCAGAGCCTCCAGTCGCTCCTGGTTGTGCCGTTCCAGGACCGGGAAAACAAGGGACTGTCACTTAGCTGCTCCCCTGGACCTCCCACGAGGACCAGGCTGGTCGCTCCATAACCACCACCTCTTACACAGCACAGTACAGGCTCACAGCACAGTCTCACTTTACCAAAGCAGGCAGATAGAGAGAGACCACAGCTGCCGTGGACTCCACCCCTCCAATCACATACACATGTAGATTTAAAGACACTCACACAGTCAATCTCCCAGCAAGCAACAGTATTGACACAGGTTGCAGACTAGCTCCCCTTCCTTTATACCCCCCCCCCCCCCCCCCCACCCCCCACCACCCCGCTCTTCTAGCCGCCTGTTCTACTCAGATTTTCCCCAGTAAATCATCTTTCCTCCAAGCTAGTTAACCCTTCACCACCCACTGTGTTGCCATGGTACACAGCCCAACAGAGCAGGAGACAAAGCCATCTGGTGGGTGATCAACCATTGCCAACATCTCTCCATTTACAATTGCTCCATCTTTTCCTCCTATCTATATCCCTGCTCTTCCTTTTCATTTCTTCCTATCGAACACATAACAATACATGGACATGCACCGGCAATATGAACTACACACACAGATGAAGCCAGCACAATAGCAAATATATTAATCAGAATGACACTGCAAAGACTCAAGAAAGGGTGAAAAGAAAGTGAAAGAATCTCAAATGAGTAACACAGAAAAGCAAATATGACATTAGCCACACCACATTGGCTCCTCCTGCATTTCTATTGGTCTAAAATGACATCATCCAGAGGATATAATCCATCCAATAGGAACACACAAACACACATTGCACGCACGCACGCACACACACAGATAATCGATCCAGGTGAGATTGATGCCCAAGGCAAATTCTGTATCATCCAAGTCTCAAAAATCCTCATTTTGCATGATCTAATGAATATTACCACTTTTACAAAGATATCAAGAGAGCAGACAAAAATGATAATTCATGCTATTTCACTCCACTTTTTTTAGACTAACTTAATTCTCTATAGCATATATGTTTATGCTAGGTTTAAAGGCTAAACGGTGGAATCAATGTAGGCTACAAATCCCAAAAATAAATAGCCTCAGAGTAGTCTTCGGAAAGTGGCAGTGTGTGACATGGTTTAAAAAGACAAAGCTGTCAATGTCGTCGTGGCTGAGCAGATATTTTGGGAGGCATTGACAAATTGAGAGCAATGACATAGCAGGATTAGGATCAGATTAAACAAATGGAATGGCAGAGACATTCATTGATTAGTCTGATGAGGTCCCTGAGATTTACATAGAGATCAATACCAATGGCATCAGCTTTCCCAGAAGGGGGGGAGGGGGGAGAATCCCCGTTACATAACGGAGCAGAGGTCTATCCAATATTTGATTGGGAGACGACGTTAAGTACGGGGCATACTGTGATTAATGAACTACAGGATTTGAGTGAATTAAAGAGCATACAGTATGTCCCTGCTTATCTCTCTGAAGGGATGTCAACATCTGTCTGTTGGGGCTGTTGCTGCTCATGCCACACACACACACAGAAACAAAAACAGCGCATACAAACGGAATAATAAAAACACAAAAATGGAACTGAAACTGAACTGGAGCTGAAAGAGCTGTGTGTGAGTGTGAGCACATCATGAACTGGAAAATGTAGTGGCTAAGTGGTGAGTCTGACCTTTTCTTCCTCCAGCCTCTGTCTCCTCTTCTCCTCCACAGCAGCTCTGCGGAGCTCCTCTTTCTGTCTCTGTTCCTCCAGCCTCCTCCAGCGCTCCTCCACGGTACGCTCATACTGCAGCTGAGCCCGCCGCTCCTTCTCCATGATCACCTGCTCTCGCACCGCTGGAAACACCAAGCAACACACCCAGATTACTACACTTTCCAACACCACTATAAGAACCCACAACAATCTTTGTTCCTGAACCTCATTACTGGCTGCAAGTTTTATGGGGCAAAATTATAGAACATTTCTGCTAATATTGGCTTCAATAAGATATGACTTCCATCAGTCTCAATACTGACAGGAACATCACTTACCTAAACCTTTATCTCTTTCCTCACGTCTCTCTTTGGCTAAACGCATCCTGTCATCTGTCCTCAGATACCCTTCCACATCTGAGAGAATGAGATATAAAGTGATTTAAAATGGGATTTAAAAAAGAGAAACAGACAAGCTAGACAGAAACAGAAGGAGGAGAGAAGTTCAAAGATGTGTTTATAGAGAGGACCCTTGAAGATCTTAAGCAGCTTTCATATCCAGAAAGAGGGAGAGATTGTGTAGGAGAGCTAACAGCCACAGTGTGGGTGGGACTTACACTGTTTACCTGCATGATTGTTAGTGTTGTTGCCTGGCAGACGTAAAGGGGAGGGGAGCCCATTGAGCTGGGGCCTCTTCTCTGTGACCAAGGCTGGGCTCAGCACCTCATCTGATATGGGAGAGATAACAGTCCCCACAGTTTATCAGCAGAGGAAGGCAGTGCTGTACATAGCACTAAACTTCAGTATTGGATGCACTGGATGTGCCTCAATCCACCACATCCGCCAGTGTCGCACTTCCGCATCTGCGGTGAAAGGTAACAGAGCTACAGCGGTGTTTGTCAGACCATGAGAAATCCCGAAAAATCGGTCTTCTCACAAAATCGTCTGTAGGGTCCGAACGGTCCTACAGATCTATGACCACTCTATGGAAAGATGAGACTCTCAGGAACATATGATGGTGTTCTCCGTTTTGCTCTACGACCCCCACAAATGTCTTGGGACTCGTCTGAAGTCGGTACAGTTAATCTGCCAGTTTGGGCTACATACTAATACAAATATGTATGGTGTTTTGCTCTAGAATGCCCACAGGCCTCACAAGACTCATCTGAAGGTCCCCCAGTACCAGTTAAAAAAAAATAATGGAAGTATACTGTATATGGAGACTGTATAGTGCCAAAAATATGGGGTTAAATACATTAAGAAAAAAAACTGTTTCCTGATCTTTCTTATGTCTCTCAGATATAGGACAGACACTTCAGAACAAACTTCCTTTTGATTTTTTTGAGGGGGACTATCTGTTGGTCAATGTAGTGAATCGGTTATTCAATGTGTTTGTATGGGCTAATAGCAGTAAGGCCAAATAAAATGTTTCATCAAATCATTTAAAAATATATATTTTGATACTTCAAGGGGTCTTCAAATTCAAAATCAAATAGCAAAATGATCCTTGGTATGACCTTCTTAAAACAATTCCATATAGCTTAGTAGAACTATAATGTTAATTTAGGCCAGTTTCTTTAATAATAAAACAATTGCTTTCGTTGTGGTCCCTGTAGGAAACTTGAAACCCATCTTCTTGGAAAATAGTCTAATAGTAATCCTTAAAATCTGAAAAAGACTCAACAATGACTCCCCTTCACATGCAAGTATCAAATCATTCAACTCAACTCCATTCTGCCATGGTAAATTGTGATTGTTGTAATTCTGTAAAGTAATTCTGTGAAGAACCTTTCCATTTCAGACAAGTAAAAATACAATATTTTAAAATGTTAAGAGTGTGAGCCATCAGTTGGAGAAGTTTACTGTTTTTCACAGCTGGGCTCCCTGGAGGAAGAACAACATGGGCTGGGGAGCCATGGCTGTTGTTTTGGCATCTCTTCTCCGCAACTGATGGTGGAGACAATCCTTCGGCTGGAGAAGAAAGGAAACATGCGAGTCAAGCGAAAAGACAGAAATAAGTCTGAATAGCTATTGTAGGTCAGTCTAGGACAAATAGCAGCCAGGCCATTGCTTTATTCTGGACTAGATTAAAAACAGCAGCCATTATCTGGTCCTGTTACTTCTGCATCACTCACCAAAATCTAATACAGCTCCCAGTCAAGGAGAAACCCATCAAATCACAACATTGGGTTGTACACGGGCAGCCTATAATGAATAGAACTGACTCTTGGGAAACTAGGAATTAACCTAAGAACTGAGGGGTGCTTTCCCAGACCCAGAGTAAGTAAGCCTATAAATTAAAAAGCACTTTCGATTGAGACGGTCCATATCATGCTTTTAGAGTATAGGCTAGAAACTTAATCAGGCATTATAGGTAGGCAACTAACAAGAACACCAGGTCACATGTCTTTAACTGTTGATTAATGGTCTGTGTTCTGGTGAGAAACCATATGTCTCATGTCCCTGTTTAAATACGTATCCACCCTATAAAAACGAAATAAGGCCTCGAAGCCAGATGCAGCTATATGCCTTTGATCAGCCCTAAATTCTAGGCTACAGGGCAATTTCGATTGGACATACTCAGATCTAGCTGAGGAATGCTCAACTCCTCAGAGAACGGAGTTGAGTGTTCCTCAGCTAACTCAGATCAGGTTACATCTGACATCTAACTGGGCTTTTTGAGCACAAATCATACCTTTCTGATTGCACTTGTACAAGCAACTGAAAACAATTGTGTTGGACACAAAAATCTAGGCAACGGTTAAAATGTATCCAACAATATAATATGTGGGTAATGCAGCCTGCGACACAGCCAGGGGCGTGAAGCACCCCATCCATTATGTTTCTGCATATCTAAGCATACCTCTTGAGCTGTCTGTATCATCCTGACTGGTGGCTATTTTTAAAAACTAAATATACTTCTCTGCATCTCTGCTAAATCTGGGAAAAGGATTGAAAGGAATGTGAGTCTTATTCTGTGCATTTAGTAATTGCTTGCTTTTCTAATGTCCACCAACCTTGCCAGCAGGCATGCTAGCTAAGATACACTACATGTACTAAAGTATGTGGACACCCCTTCAAATTAGTGGATTCAGCTATTTCAGCCACACCCAGTGCTGACAGGTGTATAAAATCGAGCACACAGCCATGCAATCTCCATAGACAAACACTGGCAGTAGAATGGCCTTACTGAAGAGCACAGTGACTTTCAACGTGGCACCGTCATAGGATGCCACCTTTCCAACAAGTCAGTTTGTCAGATTGCTGCCCCGGTCAACTATAAGTGCTGTTATTGTGAAGTGGAATCATCTAGGAACAACAAAGGCTTAGCCGCGAAGTGATAGGCCACACAAACTCACAGAACGGGACCGCCGATTGCTGAAGCGCGTAAACACTCACTACCGATTTCCAAACTGGCTCTGGAAGCAACGTCTGCATAGGAACTGTTCGTAGGGGGTTCATTAAATGGGTTTCCATGGCTGAGCAGCCGCGCACAACCTAAGATCACCATGCACAATGCCAAGTGTCGGCTGGAGTGATGTAAAGCTCAGCGCCATTGGACTCTGGAGGAGTGGAAACGCGTTCTCTGGAGTGATGAATCACGCTTCACCAACTGGCAGTCCGACGGACGAATCTGGGTTTGGCGAATGACGGGAGAACGCTACCTGCCCGAATGCATAGTGCCAACTGTAAAGTTAGGTGGAGGAGGAATAATGGTTCGGGCTAGGCCCTTTAGTTCCAGTGAAAATAAATCTTAACGCAGCATACAATGACATTCTAGACGATTCTGTGCTTCCAACATTGTGGTAACAGTTTGGGGTAGGCCCTTTCCTGTTTCAGCATGACAATGCCCCTGTGCACAAAGCAAAGTCCATACAGAAATGGTTTGTCGAAATCGGTGTGGAAGAACTTGACTGGCCTGCACAGAGCCCTGACCTCAACCCCATCAAACACCTTTGGGATGAATTGGAACGCCGACTGCGAGCCAGGCCTAATCGCCCAACATCAGTGCACGATCTCACTAATGCTCTTGTGGCTGAATGGAAGCAAGTCTCCGCAGCAATGTTCCAACATCTAGTGGAAAGCCTTCCCAGAAGAGTGGAGGCTGTTATAGCAGCAAAGGGGGGACTAAATCCATATTAATGCCCATGATTTTGGAATGAGATATTCGACGAGCAGGTGTCCACATACTTTTGGTAATGTAGTGTACTTAGACAAGCTAGCTACTCAAACTTGATTGATAGCCTGAAATTGCTTCTTAGTAGCTATTTATGAGGTTGGGAACCTATCTGGGCTTGCTAAAGCCAACTTCATAAAATTGCTAGGTGGCTAGTAGTATTACAGAGAAACAAAACAACAACAACAAAAAATCTAAAATTAGAATACAATTTTTAAATAGAACAAATCTGAGGGGGCATGTGCCCCTGTGCCCTCTATGGATATGACGCCTCTGGGACAGAGCCAATCAATTTGGCAATCAACAAAGGTGCATGTTATCCTTTTGATGTAACAATTATTCATTGTTTAGGCAACTGACCTTCAATACAGTCAACGATATTTAGCATCGGCTATATAGGCTACATTAGGAATGACTGAATAGACTACATTGAAATGCAGTTTGCGGATACAGTGGTTCATGCCCGTAGCCCTATGCCAATGTCATAGAACCCTTGTCAAAATAGGCTACAGCAGAGAAACATTGGATATGGTAAACAATAGACTGTTAGCTTTTTACCTAGCTTACCTGTCAAGGCACTGGACGCTGTATTGACTGCCTTCTCCGCCATCGTCGTAGTCACCGGCGGATCACCCCCAAACGTATGGGTGCAATGTCACAAACACCCGCAGCAAAAGGCTCCAAATCAAGCCGAGGGAAACCGCATCGCCAGCTTCTACTTTCAGGCGCAGGAGACCATATGCTGCGCTATCGGGGGATGTATCTGTTTCCCACTGCCTGCAATATGTGCGCTCCTTCAGAACTGTGCACAGGCGGTCAGGAGAGCAGTAGGGTATTCGGATGAATGCGGTTACTGAATGAGGCAATAGGCTGCTGTTTAGTGGACTAGTTTGAAGGTCAAAAGTGATCGTGGCTAGGTATCCTTGGATAACTGTTGGGACTGAGGGGAGAAAATGATGCGCTCCAGTTCAGGGAGTAGAGCTGGGTAGAGATTATGTGCGAATATTCGACAGCGCGTCAGTACTTCCCCTGCCGGCTCCCCATTACATCATTGATGGAAGGACAAACTGTAGCCTAATCAAATGCATGAAGTAGGCTAAAAACGAATGATTGAAATGCAATCAATAACATTACACGTTGCCATCAAATAATTGTATTGAATACATGATGGGAGTGGGACAGAGAGTTGTTTCGTGCGTTTTATTTTACATTGGGCTATATTTGGGGTTTAATAAAGAACTTTCTTTTAAAAAAACAATGTTAATTTGGAAATAGATATAGCTGCTAAGCCTTAATTTTAACATGATTAATATTTTGCTTCAAATAGGCTATTAGAGAAAGAAAGAACAGAACAAAGACAGCCTCAACTTTTGAGTAGACCTGCCTCTCATCCCCTCTGCCCAGAGATGTGAGCATGGATAAAGTGGTGCGCAGCATCCAAGCAAGACTGGGTACCCTGCGGCGGTCTCGCTGCGGACTCAAATGAACCTCGCCCAGTACTGTCACTCTGACTTTATAGCAAAGCCAGCCAAGTTCTGGGCGTCCCATCAAGCCAAAGCAAATAAAACGAATGTGAAGAGACTAGCCTTGCCTGAGTTCACCCGTGATCATGTTGTGGGTCTAGCACACATCCTTTTGAGCACTCCTAATTTGGTTACAAAACTGGGCGAAGTATCTGTTTCCTAGGCTTAAATGCAGCATTGTTATTGATAGGTGGAATACTGTATAAAAACAAAGCATTATTACATACTAGGTCCAGTGTTGCACAAATACTGTAAAGGCTAAATAAAAGGTTTACCAATAGGTCAGAGATATGAGAGTTCTTCTACCTGCTTTCACAATTTTTACAAGTTGAGACTTCTGTTGCCAGCCTTCATGGTTTTTGATTGAAAAAGGCATATCAAATTAGCACAAATATAAAATACTTACTTTATAGATAATCAAAATCAACAAAACAAAAGTTTGTTCTAAAAAACAGGGAGGGTATCCTTTGTTTTAGACAAAACAAATCTCCAGACCAAACATAAAATTATTGAAGTTTTTTATTTTAAATTCTGGTGTTCTGTAATTTGAGCCTATATTCCACATGAGGTGAAATAGAATATAAATACATTACAACTATAACAAAAATATGAAGTGTGTGAACTGAAGTAGGTGTGATGTTCTCAGTTGACAGAATCCAGGCTTTAAGCTGTCTCAAGAGAGAAAATAAGCTGCCTCAACTGACTTGAGGAAGCAGGGCATTGTTGGCAAGTATTATAGAAATGTCCACTTTCCTCTGCGTAAACGATGTGGCACACAATAGTCCTGATTCAGATCTGAGAGGAAGGGGAGAGAGTTATGTTACCAAGTGGCATTACTTGACCCAACAGCAGACAGACACAAAGACAAATCATTCAAGCAAAATGGACAGAGCGAAAATGCATTACACTCAATTGTATGTGATTTCAGTTGATTGAATGAATCAGTTATTATCCATTTGGGTTGCGAGGTATCTAGATTTTCATACCATAATACAGTTTCTGTAACATACTGGGGTATACGGTATTACCGTAAATGCATACAAGGGGCGCACAAAACAATTTAGGCAACAGGGATCTTGATCCAGGCAGGGATTGAACATCTCGGCTGTAACAAATAAGCTTGCTCTTGACATCTAGCCACTTGGTAAACTAAATGCACAGCTGGAGCCCTGTGCTCAATATAATTTATGACACATCTTAGAATTCTTATAGTTATACTTAACTTATAAGCAGTGGTGTAGCATGCGCCTCAACCCCACCCCAAAAAAACAGTATTTACATTTTAGTCATTTAGCAGACGCTCTTATCCAGAGCGACTTACAGGAGCAATTAGGGTTAAATGCCTTGCTCAAGGGCACATCCACAGATTTTTCACCTAGTCGGCTCTGGGATTAGAACCAGAAACCTTTCGGTTACTGGCACAACGCTCTTAACCACTAAGCTACCTGCTTCATACCGTCGGTATTTCGAAATACCCCGGTATACGGTATATCACCCAAGCCTATTACCCATTGACAGCTTTCCTTGTGACTTGCAAGAGGAACCCTCTACTTACATCATCAATGTCCTCGTCGTCGTCTCCAATGTCATCAAACTGAATATCCTCGTCATCGCCAGGTCCAAACGTGTCAGTCTCATTGATTTTAGCTAGGGAGTTAGAACATACACTCACCATTAATGAACTAGTTTGCCTTAAAAAATATATATATATATATATATATACATACATATAAAAAGAGTGCACGTGCCTATAATTTGAAGCAAGACATTACATTCCTGGCTTTGTGGCTCCAGCATCACATGGCGAATTATGCTTATCCAGAGGGGGTTATTTTCCTAGTCCTTCTTAAAAATTGTATTTTAGTCTTAGTGTGCGTTCGTAAATTCACCCTGGCAATCTACTTCAATTTTAAACCAGTTCTGCTAGGGCGAGTAAAACGTTCAGAGTGATGTGTTCTCTCATTTGTGTCTGGAACTAGCTAGCAAGCTAGCCAACGTTAGCCAGTTAGCTTGGCTGCTTTACTGCCATTGTGAGATCAGAACGTTCGGATCAACCCTACTCCTCGGCCAGAGCGTCTGGTGTGCGCTCTGAACGCTCCAAGAGCGAAACGCTCTGAATTTACAAAATGACAATCTGACAATGCTCTGAATTAACGAACTGCCCAAAAAGCACTGACATTCTAGAGTTAATTTACGAACGCACCCTTAGATTAGATGCTATTAACCACCCTGACTCTCTTTCAATCAAATGTATTTTTACATCAGCAGTTGTCACAAAGTGCTTATACAGAAACCCAGCCTAAAACCCCAAAAGAGCAAGCAATGCAGATGTAGAAGCACGGTGGCTAGGAAAAACTCCCTAGAAAGGCAGGAACATAGGAAGAAACCTAGAGAGGAACCAGGCTCTGAGGGGTGGCCAGTCCTCTTCTGGCTGTGCTGGGTGGAGATTATATGAGTACATGGCCATTAAGGCCAGACCGTTCTTCAAGATGTTCAAACGTTCATAAATAATAATCACAGTGGTTATAGAGGGTGCAACAGGTCAGCACCTCAGAAGTAAATGTCAGTTTGCTTTTCATAGCCGAGCATTCAGCGGTCGAGACAGCAAGTAGGTCCCAGATACTTACCATGTTCAGGAAGCTCCCCATAGGCCTTCAAACTCCTGGCCTCGTCTGCGTTGTACTTCAGGATAACATCAGCTTTTTGGTCCTTTAAGGAAGAATGCAACCATTAGGAGATACTGTTGGAACTTAGGGCCTCCTAGTGCGTTAGGTTGTATTATCATTCAAAAATAAAAACCATAGCTGATTTTTTCTCTCATAATTATTACCTGGTAATCTCGAAGTCCCACCAGGATGATGTCTGAACTGTTGATCCAAACCTGCCCAAGAGCGAATAACAAGATGTCAGCAAGGAGAATTTGGAGTATAAGAACTGTAATACTTTCATCATAGACCTGGACACAAACGGCCCAGGTAGAAGAGTCTGTCAACCCTCATGTCATGTCCAACCCAAAGCATTACGGAAGTAGCCTGTAAAGAACGATGACATCGGATTGCATTTATATGGTCTTCAGCCTCCAGTTATTTGCCAAATTGTGTGACTAGTAGCACTAACACTATATAGGCTACTGTGTACACAACTACCTTTTTCCGTAGCTTTCCTCGGATGTGGCATAGTCGCTTGACTCCATCAAAACACATAGCTTCCAGTCGTCCATTACCCAACATCTTAATCACCTGTGCATATTCTAGATTAGAACAGAAGAACAGAGGTTCAGCCAGTTAGTCAATTCATTTAGCGGAGGTCACGAGGTGGCTCAAATGTAAGTGCTGAACTGGTAACCAGGGAGCACACAAATATTGAATACATCTGAACGAGATAACTGTATTCGATTAGTAGCTACAATGTTAGTATGGTCAGTGTTAAAGCAGAGTAGTTGACAGGGAGGTTGAAATTAAGTCAGAAACTGTTTGCTAACCTTACAGACTAAATAAGGTTGAAGGGGGACCTCGCACTCACCTTGGCCATCCTCTTTGAATACCAGCTCTCTCTTTTCTGATTCATTCTCATTTTTACCACGTCGCCGATTCTTTCCTCCCTTACCTGTAAGGAGATGAGAGGATGAGAGATCGATAGAAAAATTGTCATTCCAATTCCACCAGTCATTGGCATCATGAGCCAAATAAACACAGACAAATAGGCCAACCAAATGGCTGTAGCCTAGCTACAAAGTTACTTTAATTAATCCCGTTTATCTGTGCTAGTTAGCTAGTGAATGTGACAGCGATCAGGGCAGAGGCTCAAGATGATGGGCACAGGTCTGGGATATTGTTGGCCTACCGCACTAGTTGATACGAACGTCATTCAGTTGCGCAAAAGAATGTGACAACAATAGGCAGTTCATAGTTCGCCTAAATTACTAATAGTCAAATTGCGATAAAATAAACAATATGTCGTTGGTGGTAATTAATGTTAACCAACGTTTCCACGCTTTTAAATACTTGTTAAATGCCATACGGTGCCTTCCTCCGGTCACGTTGCTAAGCATGGGCCCGGGCGGCTAGCTAGCTAGCATAAACGTCAAACCTGCCATGGAATAACGTTAGCTATCAACCAAAGGCAACATGTTTGCTGCTTACCTTTATTCTTCGGCATATTCCCAAACGAACAGGCTTTTTTAGATCAGTCCTGTTTTGTCCGTATCGAATTTAGTGTTATAAAAATGGAATGGAAACCAATCCGTGACGATGTCACACACTTACAAAGATAAGCTTGTTGGCTTAGCTTTCTTGGGGGAAACCTCTTCCGCTTGCAACACCGTGAAGCAGCATTAGGTTTTAAAAAGTGTTTTTCTACCCATGTTTCCTACCTCTGATCTGGTCTACTACATATACGCATTACAATTGACAGTTATGGGGCCTTTTTGTGGAGGAAAGAATGAACGATTGATACATTATTTTATTGTATATTTATTTTATGTATTCATGATAATTCTTTAGGTTACAAAAGAAGCTGCAGTCACTTGGCTGGCCCACATCTACTGAGACAAACATTTATCTGTAAAACATCACATCGAGACATTGAGGTCAAAGCAGAGGGGAAAGATAGTATATATTCGCCCCTCCATCTAACATGTTACATTTCCCCAGCATCTTCTTAGAAAGCCCTTATCTTTCCCTTAAAGAAAACTAAAGCTGTCCTGTGACCGTCATGCACACCAAGTAGAAAATGTTTCATTCATCAACATATACAAAAATACATTCTTAATGGTCTCTTAAAAGTAGACTGGAAAAGTAATCTTAATTGCTATAAGTATATCCCTAGTTCACGTTTCCCTTTATGATTATGAGAAAGACAAAAAAATAGCAAGACTAAGTAAAGCAAGAAAACCCCAACCCCTCTGGGCTCTGCCCCAACACAAAGGTCTGAGAGAAAGTGCAGCAGCAGATACTGGAGTGAGGAAGGTTAGCACATTTTCTCCCCCATGTTTGACAGAGTCTTGGTAAACTGATTGTTGCACAATCGAGGAATTTGTCACAGTGCCCAAACCCAAATTGCCCAATAAATAAGCAATATAGTAATAACTCCATATTGCTTATTCCCAGAGCCTTGTATTTAGAAAGTTGAGCCAATGCAGTTCCTGCATTATGATGCAATTACATGACACTTCAACATTCTATGGCAGCCATGTTATCTCACTATTAACATTAGCTAAATGGGGAATATATATATATATATATTTTTTACTGTATGTCTAGAATGAGCATTATGATGCATATACATGACACTACAACATTATATGGCAGTCATAATATCTCCATAGAAATAGAATGAATAGAACTGGTGTCCCCATTCAAGCCAATGGTGGCATAATGGCTGGACTGGCAGCCATTTTGAGTATACCCATGCCTAGGTTGAAGTGACAAAGGTTAAGACAACGGGATTCTAATATCCCATAACTCTTTGCAACAACGGGACCAGCTGCGCTAGTTAGCAACGAACACGGTTGGTCCCAGATTTGTGACGACGTTGTCTTAACCTGTATATTTTTACCCAAGACCAATGCCAGGAAGTATACCCTTCAATCTGTGCTTTGATTTGTTGAGTCAACTGACATTACAAAAAATACCTTCCATTGCATGAGCCACATCAGCTAGCTACACACATGTCAAACTCATTCCATGGAGGGTCAAGTGGCTGCGGGTTTTCGCTCCTCCCTTGTACTTGATTTATGAATTAAGGTCACTAATTAGTAAGGAACTCCCCACACCTGGTTGTCTCGGGCTTAATTGAAAGGAAAAACCAAAAACCAGCAGACACAAGGCCCTCCATGGAATGAGTTTGACACCCCTGAGCTAGCATCATTTGAATGAACATTCTACATTACCACGGCAATCCAGAATCAGTTGATAGAACATTCCAAATTACAAGGGAAATGATTTAATCACAATACCAGGCAGCCAGAGTACCACAGTATGTCAAAATACCCATACAACCTAGCAGTCAAACAAGGAAATGGTTCCAATCGTTTTTCCACCATTCATTTTTCCCATAGGAGTTTTAGAAACACTTAAAATAAGGGCTGTGATTCGTGTAGGCTTACATTGGCGTGACGTTTTGATAACGGTGTAAATCTCTCTAGGACAATGTGACTTTTATCAATATATTCACCAGTATTTACCCACAAAAAAGTAAACGCTAATTAGCTGCGAATGTGGCTATCATAAAGAACTACAAATGCCATGATCTGGACAACACAGCCGAATCGAGGAAAAGGAAATAACCTCTGGATTAAACTGTTAAGCTAAATTTAGTAATGAATAAATAGGCAAAATGTCTTTAAATTGACAATTATGTGAATTGTCTTGACACACTACCTGTTTGCAAAGGTGTCAGCACGTGCAGGAGCTTGCAGGGATTTGTAGTCTCGCATGATGTCTACTTTGACGCTAATTAGCATTTTTGAATCAGAGTAAATAGAGACAAATATATTGGTAAGTCACCTTGTCCGAGAGAGATTTTCATGGTTATCAAAACGTCACGCAAGGGTAAGCCTACACGAAACACAGCTCTTATTAAGTATTTAAATTCCCTATGGGAAAACAGTATGGTGGAAAAACGATTGGAACCATTTCCCTGTTTGACTGGTAGGTTTTATGAGTATTATGACACCTCCACTGTGGGGCTCTATAGTGAGTGTACCCATGAGTTTACCAGTCATATTGCCAGGGTTAGACCTTCCAAGTCTGTTCCATTCATTCTATTTATATGGTTAGCTCCCCATTTTACACGACATGGGGAATATTTAAACAATGCTATGTAACAGAATGTCTAGAATTAGAACAATAAAAACATTCTAAAAGTTGGCTTAACTAAAAATATGACTGCTTACACGTATCCAATCTTTTCAGATCTATACAAGTGCATAGGTGGGGGGGTAGGGGCTTAGCGGTTGCTTTGGAATAAGGGGGGGGGGGGGGGGGGGGGGGGGGGGAACTGACTGGTTTAACCATCTTGTGCTCCATGCAACTGGGGGAAACATAATTGTAACCATTTCCAAACCCCTTCATCCCCCAGTGCTTAACTCAAATCTCTATTTAAACACAGACCTATAGGAACCCGTATACATTTAATTATATTTTTGTAGTAAATATATCTCATTTTCATAAAATATACAGTTCAGCCTTTCCAAGAATTTGTAACTCTTGGTCTGTAGGCAATTATGATTGTACAAGCAAATACATTATACATTTTCTCAGTGAATGGGTTACAGTTTCTTTTTGGTCTTACACACTGTTCTAACACAGCGGGAGTCGAAACACACTAATGCACTGGTGCAGTAGCATTAAACAGGTGAGATTGATCCTAGTGGCAGGTGGATCACAGGGCTGTTGAGGTCAACTTCTTCACTCCTCTTCGTTGAGCTAACGAGGAGCGTCCTACAGGGTCCAGCACAGGGAGAACATGCATGTTCAGAGCAGAGTAAGTGGCTGCCATCGCACCCTGTAGAGGGAGAACAGTCTCGGTGTTAATTAATCAATACCCAGCAGAGAAGCTTTCTTTCAGAGTGGCAGAAAAGAGACTCGTACATTGAATGAAGTTTTGTTACCTTGACCAAATGAGGAGCATCATGTCTATTGAGCTGGTACTTGGGCAACTGGTCCTTGTGTAATATCCAGGGGTGTTGCAGCACCTGAGCAGCAGTTAGCCTCTGGTGGGGATCCACATGCAGCATCTTGGACACTAGGTCCTAAAGACAGCAATGCCAACGTTCAGATTGTGCATACTACCTCTTCCATCAAGTATACAATGCATTCGGAAAGTATTCAAACCCTTTCATTTTTCCCACATTTTGTAACGTTACAGCCTTATTCTAAAATGTATGAAATTGTTTTTTTCACCTCATCAATCTACACACAATACCCCATAATGACAAAGCAGAAACAGGTTTAGAAATCTTTGCAAATTTATTTAAAAAAATAATAATGAAATATACATTTACATAAGTATTCAGACCCTTTACTCAGTACTTTGTTGAAGCACCTTTGGCAGCGATTACAGCCTTGAGTCTTCTTGGGTATGACGCTAAAAGCTTGGCACAACTGTATTTGGCACACCTCTGCAGATCCTCTCAAGCTCCGTCAGGTTGGATGGGGAGCGTCGCTGCACAGCTACTTTCAGGACTCTCCAGAGATGTTCGATTGGGTTCAAGTCTGGGATCTGGCTGGGCCACTCAAGGACATTCAGAGACTTGTCCTGGTGCCAATCCTGCGTTGTCTTGGCTATGTGCTTAGGGTCGTTGTCCTGTTGGAAGGTGAACCTTCGCCACAGTCTGAAGTCCTGAGCACTCTGGAGCAGGTGTTCATCAAGGATCTCTCTGTACTTTGCTCCGTTCATCTTTCCCTTGATCCTGACTAGTCTCCCAATCCCTGCCGCTGAAAAACATTCCCACAGCATGATGCTGCCACCACCATGCTTCACCGTAGGGATGGTATTGGCCAGGTGATGAGCGCTGCCTGGTTTCCACCAGATGTGACGCTTGGCATTCAGGCCAAAGAGTTCAATCTTGGTTTCATCAGACCAGAGAAACTTGTTTCTCATGGTCTGAGAGTCCATTAGGTGCCTTTTGGCAAACTCCAAGCGGGCTGAGGAGTGGCAAACTCCTTTACTGAGGAGTGGCTGTCGTCTGGCCACTACCATAAAGGCTTGATTGGTGGAGTGCTGCAGAGATAGTTGTACTTCTGGAAGGTTCTCCCATCTCCACAGGGGAACTCTGGAGTTCTGTCAGAGTGACCATCTGGTTCTTGGTCACCTCCATGACCAAGGCCCTTCTCCCCCGACTGCTCAGTTTGGCCGGGCGGCCAGCTCTAGGAAGAGTCTTGGTGGTTCCAATCTTCTTCCATTTAAGAATGATGGAGGCCACTGTTCTTTGGGACCTTCAATGCTGCAGAAATGTTTTGGTATCCTTCTCCAGATCTGTGCCTCGACACAATCCTGTCTCGGAGCTCTACGGACAATTCCTTCGTCCTCATGGCTTGGTTTTTGCTCAGACATGCACTGTCAACTGTGGGACCTTATATAGACAGGTGTGTGCCTTTCCAAATCATGTCCAATCAATTGAATTTACCACAGGTGGAGTCCAATCAAGTTGTAGAAACATCTCAAGGATGAACAATGGAAACAGCACCTGAGCTCAATTTCGAGTCTCATAGCAAAGGGTTTGAATAGTTATGTTTTTAATAAATTTGCCAAAAATTATAAAAACCTGTTTTCGCTTTGTCATTATGGGATATCGTGTGTAGATTGATGAGGATTATGTATTTTATTTAATCAATTTTAGAATAAGGCTGTACTTTCCAAATGCACTGTATAGTGCTAGGAAAATGATTCCCTTTTGAAACCACTATCACAGAGTAATTGGATACTATGGAAAGCGCAGTGCTGCAGTCCAACCGACGTCCCAGACATACCTTGGCTTCTGCTGAGACTGAGTTCCAGTAGCCGCCCGTCAGAGAGAACTTTCCACTGCCGATCCGAGCCAAGATCTCTTCCGGAGTATCCTCTGGTCCATTGGCAAAAGGAGTGAACCTGAAACATCAAGATAAATACATACTTCAAAGGACTAATAAAATATGAAAGTACTATATTGTTCCTATTGTATTATGTGTTAATATTATATTTGCATGCACATCATTGGCTGCATTACTGTTGGTAAAGCCTGCATACCCAGTAAGCATTGTGTAGAGCAGCACTCCCAGACTCCAGATATCACAGGCTGCATCATAGCCCTGTTTCTTCAGCACCTAACAACAACAGGAAGTATTGCACACTGCATTAGAATACATAATGCCATGTCAGTTACTAGACAAATATATCGAAAACTGAAAATACGTTGGACTTTTTACAGTTAGACAACCATTAGCTTAACATGCAGGTACTAGTCACAGAAACATGTAGATGAAGAGACACCTCGGGGGCGACAAAGTTGGCCGTGTAGCAGGGAGTCATCAGGAGCCCGTTTTCAGCTCTCAGCTGTTTGGCAAAACCAAAGTCACAGATCCGGATCGACTCTGGGTTTCCAGACTCATCCACGTACAGTATGTTACTGGGCTTCAGATCTCTGTGGACAACCTGAGCAGGGGGACAGAAATTCCATCAGTGACACCGTGAGTCAGGGAGGCAAATATCATAGATGGCCAACTTGTATGGCTTATACAGTAGAAAGGTCCTGTGCATTGAAAGTAGCGAAGTGCTCAAAATATAATATATACTTGGAACACATAATATATCAGTATTGTGTATCATTGTGATGGTAAATTTTTTACCCCCTGTGCATGCAGGTACTCCACAGTTTTGGTGATGGTGTGGAGAACTGCACTGGCCTCCCTCTCAGAGAAGAACTTCTGTCTGAGGATCTTATCCAGCAGCTCTCCTCCTTTCATCAGCTCTGTCACTAGGTACACCGAGCGTCCATCGTCATACACCTACAGTCAACAGATCACATGACCTCACACTGTCACCCAGAGAGATACTCACAAATAGCGACTCATTATAGAAGATTATTCAGCACACAAAAAAATATTCCCATTACTCTCTCAGAACATCAACATACTAGCCAAACAACGAAAAAACAAATCAATTGTGAATCTACACTGAACACATATATAAACTCAACATGACTTGCCTAGTTAAAAAAAAAAAAATATATATATATATATTTTAAGTGTTGGTCCCATGTATCATGAGCAGAAACAAAATAACGTAGACATGTTCCACACGCACTAGGGTTGAATATTTTCCCGGTATTTTACAAAATGTTCCATCCTGAGAATAAATCACTTTCCTCCCGGGTAAGCTGTTATTTCCTGCCAAAACATGGAAGTGTCATTCAAAAGCATATAATGTCTGGATTTGATTAGAGCTTTGAGCAGCATGAAAATTCAAACCTGATGCGCCATATATTACATATACTGAACAGAAATATAAAAACGCAACAGACGATCCCGCAGGTGAAGAAGCCGGATGTGGAGGTCCTAGGCTGGAGTGCTTACATGTGGTCTGCTGTTGTGAGGCCAGTTGGATATACTGCCAAATTCTCTAAAACGATGTTGGAGGCAGCTTATGGTAGAGAAATGAACATTTAATTATCTGGCAACAGCTCTGGTGGACATTCCTGCAGTCAGCATGCCAATTGCACGCTCCCTCAAAACTTGAGACATCTGTGGCATTGTGTTGCGTGACAAAACTGCATATTTTAGTGGCCTTTTATTGTTCCCAGCACAAGGTGCACCTGTGTGAACGTTTGCCCCATTCTGAGGTCCTGAGCGCTCTGGAGCAGGTGTTCATCAAGGTTCTCTCTGTACTTTGCTCCGTTCATCTTTCCCTTGATCCTGACTAGTCTCCCCAGTTCCTGCCGCTAAAAAACATCCCCACAACATGATGCTGCCACCACCATGCTTCACCGTAGGGATGGTGCCAGATTTCCTCCAGACAAGTCTCTTGGCATTCAGGCCAAAGTGTTCAATCTTGGTTTCATCAGACCAGAGAATCTTGTTTCTCTTGGTCTGAGAGTCTTTAGGTGTCTTTTGGCAAACTCCAAGCAGGCTGTCATGTGCCTTTACGGAGGAGTGGCTTCTGTTTGGCCACTCTAGCATAAAGGCCTGATTGGTGGAGTGCTGCAGAGATGGTTGTCCTTCTGGAAGGTTCTCCCATCTCCAAAGAGGAACTCTTGAGCTCGGTCAGAGTGCCCATCGGGTTCTTGGTCACCTCTCTGACCAAGGCCCCGACTGCTCAGTTTGGCCAGGGCGGCCAGCTATAGGAAGAGTCTTCGTGGTTCCAATCTTCTTCCATTTAAGAATGATGGAGGCCACTGTGTTCTTGGAGACCTTCAATGCTTCAGATATATTTTGGTACCCTTCCCCAGATCTGTGCCTCGACACAATCCTGTCTCGGAGCTCTAAGGCCAATTCCTTCAACCTCATGGCTTGGTTTTTGCTCTGACATTCACTGTCAACTGTGGGACCTGATATAGACAGGTGTGTGCCTTTCCACATCATGTCCAATATATTGAATCTACCACAGGTGGACTCCAATCAAGTTGTAGAAACATCATGCACCTGAGCTCAATTTCGAGTCTTCTAGCAAAGGGTCTGAATACTTATGTGAATAAAGTATCTGTTTTATTTGTAACACATTTGCAAACATTTCTAAAAAACTGATTTTGCTTTGTCATTATGGGGTATTGTGTGTAGAGTGATGAGGAAAAATTAATTGAATCCATTTTAGAATAAGGCTGTAATGTAACAATGTGGAAAAAGGAAGGGAAGGGGTCTGAACTTTCCGAATGTGCGCACACACACACACACACACACACACACACACACACACACACACACATACACAGTGAGGGAAAAAAGTATTTGATCCTCTGCTGATTTTGTACATTTGCCCACTGACAAAAGACATGATCAGTCTATAATTTTAATGGTAGGTTTATTTGAACAGTGAGAGACAGAATAACGCATGTCAAACATTTTAGAAAATGATTTGCATTTTAATGAGGGAAATAAGTATTTGACCCCTCTGCAAAATATGACTTAGCCCTTGTTGGCAATCACAGAGGTCAGACATTTCTTGTAGTTGGCCAGCAGGTTTGCACACATCTCAGGAGGGATTTTGTCCCACTCCTCTTTGCAGATCTTCTCCAAGTCATTAAGGTTTCGAGGCTGACGTTTGGCAACTCGAACATTCAGCTCCCTCCACAGATTTTCTATGGGATTAAGGTCTGGAGACTGGCTAGGCCACTCCAGGACCTTAATGTGCTTCTTCTTGAGCCACTCCTTTGTTGCTTTGGCCGTGTGTTTTGGGTCATTGTCATGCTGGAATACCCATCCACGACCCATTTTCAATGCCCTGGCTGAGGGAAGGAGGTTCTCACCCAAGATTTGACGGTACATGGCCCCGTCCATCGTCCCTTTGATGCGGTGAAGTTGTCCTGTCCCCTTAGCAGAAAAACACCCCCAAAGCATAATGTTTCCACCTCCATGATTGACGGTGGGGATGGTGTTCTTAGGGTCATAGGCAGCATTCCTCCTCCTCCAAACACGGCGAGTTGAGTTGATGCCAAAGAGCTCAATTTTGGTTTCATCTGACCACAACACTTGCACCCAGTTCTCCTCTGAATCATTCAGATGTTCATTGACAAACTTCAGACAGGCCTGTATATGTGCTTTCTTGAGCAGGGGGACCTTGCGGGCGCTGCAGGATTTCAGTCCTTCACGGCGTAGTGTGTTACCAATTGTTTTCTTGGTGACTATGGTCCCAGCTGCCTTGAGATCATTGACAATATCCTCCTGTGTAGTTCTGGGCTGATTCCTCACCGTTCTCATGATCATTGCAACTCCACGAGGTGAGATCTTGCATGGAGCCCCAGGCCGAGGGAGATTGACAGTTATTTTGTGTTTCTTCCATTTGCGAATAATCGCACCAACTGTTGTCACCTTCTCACCAAGCTGCTTGGCGATGGTCTTGTAGCCCATTCCAGCCTTGTGTAGGTCTACAATCTTGTCCCTGACATCCTTGGAGAGCTCTTTGGTCTTGGCCATGGTGGAGAGTTTGGAATCTGATTGATTGATTGCTTCTGTGGACAGGTGTCTTTTATACAGGTAACAAATTGAGATTAGGAGCACTCCCTTTAAGAGTGTGCTCCTAATCTCAGCTCGTTACCTGTATAAAAAGACACCTGGGAGCCAGAAATATTTCTGATTGAGAGGGGGTCAAATACTTATTTCCCTCATTAAAATGCAAATCAATTTATAACATTTTTGACATGCGTTTTTCTGGATTTTTTTGTTGTTATTCTGTCTCCCAATGTTCAAATAAACCTACCATTAAAATTATAGACTGATAATTTCTTTGTCAGTGGGCAAACGTACAAAGTCAGCAGGGGATCAAATACTTTTTTCCCCCTCACTGTATACATATATACACACACACACACACACACACACACACACACACACACACGTGTATATACATACATACAGTTGAAGTCGGAAGTTTACATACACTTAGGTTGGAGTCACCCATACGTATGGAGCCACCCATACGTAAAAATGTATGCACGCATGACTGTAAGTCGCTTTGGATAAAAGCGTCTGCTAAATGGCATATTATTTATATTATTATTAAAACTAGTTTTTCAACCACTCCACAAATTTCTTGTTAAACTATAGTTTTGGCAAGTCGGTTAGGACATTACTTTGTGCATGACACAAGTAATTATTCCAACAATTGTTTACAGACAGATTATTTCACTTAATCGCAGAGTACGACCCTGCCTTACACAGAAAATGGCACAGGTCCTAATCCAGGCACTTGTCATCTCCCATCTGGATTACTGCAACTCGCTGTTGGCTGGGCTCCCTGCCTGTGCCATTAAACCCCTACAATTTATCCAGAACGCTGCAGCCCATCTGGTCTTCAACCTTCCTAAATTCTCTCATGTCACCCCACTCCAGGCTTCCAGTTTAGGCTCGCATCTACTACAAGACCATGGTGCTTGCCTACGGAGCTGTGAGGGGAACGGCACCTCCTTACCTTCAGGCTCTGATCAGACCCTACACCCAAACGAGGGCACTACGTTCATCCACCTCTGGCCTGCTAGCCTCCCTACCGCTACGGAAGCACAGTTCCCGCTCAGCCCAGTCAAAGCTATTCGCTGCTCTGGCACCCCAATGGTGGAACAAGCTCCCCCACGGGGGTGGCAGCATCATGCTGTGGGGGTGCTTTGCTGCAGTAGGGACTGGTACACTTCACAAAATAGATGGCATTATGAGGAAGGAAAATTATGTGGATATATTGAAGCAACATCTCAAGACATCAGTCAGGAAGTTAAAGCTTGGTCGCAAATGGGTCTTCCAAATGGACAATGACCCCCAATCATACTTCCAAAGTTGTGGCAAAATGGCTTAAGGACAACAAAGTCAAGGTATTGGAGTGGCCATCACAAAGCCCTGACCTCAATCCTATAGAAAATGTGTGGGCAGAACTGAAAAAGCGTGTGCGAGCAAGGAGGCCTACAAACCTGACTCAGTTACACCAGCTCTGTCAGGAGGAATGAGCCAAAATTCACCCAACTTATTGTGGGAAGCTTGTGGAAGTCTACCCGAAACGTTTGACCCAAGTTAAACAATTTAAAGGCAATGCTACCAAATACTAATTGAGTGTATGTAAACTTCTGACCCACTCGGAATGTGATGAAATAAATAAAAGCTGAAATAAATCATTTCTCTCTCCTATTATTCTGACATTTCATATTCTTAAAATAAAGTGGTGATCCTAACTGACCTAAGACAGGGAATTTTTACTAGGATTAAATGTCAGGAATTGTGAAAAACTGAGTTTAAATGTATTTGGCTCAGGTGTATGTATTTGGCTAAGATGTATATACATACAAACTCAGCAAAAAAAGAAATGTCCCTTT